GTCATTTCGCTGAAGATGGAGATCCCTGGCTCCATGCCTCCTCTGATCCAGGAGATGCTGGAGAACTCAGAGGGTCAAGACAGCCAGAGCAGCACCGAGGGCGAGGATGGCAGCAGCCACAAGAAGGGAATCCCTAAGGGGGGTAAACCCTGCCCTGTGTCCCCTGACCCAGACGCTTCAGACAGCGACGGGCCCACAGCGGCCCCCAAGGAGGAGGAGGAGGAAGAGGACCCCTAGGTCCCCATGGAACTCAGGGGCCTCTCAGACTGACACTCTCTCTCTCGCTGACATTCCTTTGCACACAAAAAAACAACAGAAAATAGGTCAACAGCATGGTGGAGCAGGCCGTTGGTCCCTTGGCGAACCACCACCACCTTTGCTTGTTCTTATGTTATCCTTTTACGTTTGTTTTTTCCTTCTCTCGCTTTGCCTCTTTATTTTCCCTTAAAAAAAACGACAACACTAAAACCTAAAAGGACCAGTGGTTGGTTTGTGTATAATTCTACATTTATCGAGCTCTTATTTTGGCGTTGTGTCTCGGGGACTAGGGCGTGATTGGTCAAGTTGGGTTTGACTCCGTCCGGCAACGCCCATTTACCTGTTGTACACAAAGGTCATAGGTCATCCTCCTCAGGTCTCCTGTGTAAATTCATCCCTGCATGACGGGCTCGCCGAGTTTAATACGTAGTTTTAATCTCTCTTTCTCTCAGTCTCTCTCATATTGTTGGAATGCATTGTACATACCATTGTATGGTTAGAAATCTGTCTGTTTCTATGATGAATTTTGTGGTGCTTTTTTCATTGTCTTAAATATTATTGTTTGAGGTGAAATAGTACATACATGACAAGGTTTAAAAGGGGGCTGAAATGTAAAGTCCTTTACAAAAACAGTTATATAGACTGTTCTTGCATATAGACAGTATGGAAGACTAATACTTTATATTTGTTCCTATATTTAAAGCTGTTTTTTGTTTTGTCTTTTATAACTCATTATGTTGACGTCTCGATGAGTGTACATTACATTCATTACAGGCTTCTCTCCCGTATCAGCTGCTGCATCTCTTCAGTCGCTTCCTCAAGGGGGGGAAGCCAGACTATAGAGGCCATAGATAAACAATGACTAGATTGAATCTAGATATACAATTACCAGATTGGATCTGTCTATCACAGATAACAGGCTGTAATGTAATGTACAGGGCTTCTGAGGCTAAAAGGCTTCTGAGATTTTATCAGAAAATGACATTCCCAGAGAGAAACCAAGCAGTCTTAACCAGGGAAATCTCTCTGGTTCAAGATAAGTGATGAGCGACTCTCATTGACAAAGACTTTCCTTAACCTAAGCTTGCGCCACTGAGAAATTGAGCTGTTGTTGTTAAAACAAATGTGGTTATACATTTGGAGTTCCCTTGCAATTCTCTTGAAAATTCTCCACAATCTGTGCAGGGAAATGCATTCTTATTACAGTGGTAAAATCAAAATTGCTTCTCTGATGCAGTTTCAATCTAGTAATTGTACATTAATGGCTGTCAGCAACTACAAGCATCTGCGCAACACAAAATGCACATTGAATTCTGGGCCAGGATTACAAACGAGTCCTGTAGACCCAGAATCACTACCTGCCCCTTCTTACATACTTGCATACATAAGTGTCTTGTTTTGGCAGTAAACCACGGGGACATTGCAATCCTTAAAATACATATTCATGACCTAACCGCTTGGCCGGGAAGATTGTACACTAGACTCTAATGTTCTATCTAGCTGCACATGTATGGGATTCTAGTAGCCACTACGCATTCTTAGTTCTCGTCCTACAGAGTGACTGACTGTTGCCTTGCTCCTCCGACAGTCCTGTGCAAAACTATAGTGATGCAAAGGAGATTTTTTACACGTGACCCTTAACCCCTGAGACGTGCAGTAACTATAGGTAGACAAGCTCGGGTAGTGTTCATTCGTGGTGCAACATCACCGAATGTTCAGATAATTATATATTATGTAGACGTGCTTCTCTGTCATGTAGAATAGGGAATCAGGTCAGCTCTAACACAATAATATATTTGTATCTGTAACATTCGTGAACATTGCACCTCCTGAACACAACCCTGCTTTGTGTTTTGGACGGCAGATCCACTAGAGAGCTCTTTTTCTCAGGGATGAGGAATGATGTCCCACATTCGGCCGCCGCCGCAACGGCCCTTCTGGTCGTATAAATATATTCTTAGTAAAGCTGCTTTTCTTCAGAGCCTAAGGGCTAGATTCAATCCGAAGCGCTGTAGATCTGCAGTATACCGCAATTAAAATGTAAAGGCAATGTTCCCGCGTTCGCGGAGACTGCATTCACGGTAAACGCTGCATATATCGGCACAATCGGAAATTACCTTTAAATTTCAATCGCGCTATACCATGGTTCTTCAGTGCTACGGATTGGATCTAACCCAAATCACAGATTAGAATTTGGACACTATTTATAAAGTTAATAGCCTAGAATCCACACTGAATATTGCTGTTCGTTCCACTGTTGTGAAGTGAAACAATAGTGATGTTCAGTGCGGAAGCCAGGCTATAAAGTTTATACTACAGCTAGGAAGAACTAGGACCTCTACAGTCCCTTATTACCTGTCGTAGCCTGGTATCCCTTGTGGTTGAAAGGATAAGGATAGATAATATCATTTACTCAGATGTTGACTATTTACTCAACTGTAGCACAAAGGCAATACTTCTCATAGCACTTATATAAAACTTGATCATGTGAATCATATGTAGCTGATACAATGTTAAGGGGGATGGTAATAAACAATGTTCTTTATCACTCTTTAAGGGTAATAATAATTTGGCATAAACTGTTATGGGTGTTTATTGAGTCATTCATCTCAGAGGTATAAAGACAGGAAGGTTCTTTATTCTGAATAGAGGCAAACATTAACCACAAGGGAATAGATTACCACTATAGTTAGTCAGCTAGAACCAAGGTTGGGGTCAATTCCAATGTAATTATTTCAGTTTACTTCCTGAATGGACTGAATTGATATGGAATTGACCCCAACCATCACTAGAATCCAGAAACATCTCACACATAACCATCTCCTCCTCTCCTCCATATCAACGCCACATGTAATACATACATATCTTAAGGGAAAAACAAAACTGTCTCAGTTTTACCATGTTTGAATGTGAATATGCTGTCCAGGCGTTACATACGAATGATATGCAGTGTTAAAGGAATATTTACTTTAAAGCAGCGTTTCGTCAATTTCATTGCATCTCATTGTATGTATGAAAAAAATGTAATGCTGTCTTTCCCTCTCTAAGGGAGAGAGGGATGCAAGGGAAAACAATCCTGGTGGCTGTGGGTGAATCTCAAAAGTCTTCCCTACATTCCTCTCCCTTGATTCCTCGCCTCCTTCTCAAAATGCATTGGAGGAAAGGGTGCAGAACCTCAGACCTTCTCCAACGTGTGTTGTTGAGGTGAGGAATCGAGGATGTGATGAATCAAGGAAAGACTTGAGATTTACACTGAGTGTCTTCGAAGTTGGAAAACTTATTTCACAGCTAAAGAATGTCTAAATCCAACTCCCTAGTGTCCAGAGCGCCTCCTACAGGCACCAGGAGACACAGCAGGGAACTCGATCCATTCCACAATGCCGAATTTACTACGTTGGTTTCTGTTGAATGTTGTACCGATGTAACTGTTAATATTTACAACTACTATCCCACTGCAGACTTGTCCATGTATTAGATGGTGTGTGTGTGTGGTGTGCTTTATGTCTCAACTAATGGCAGCTTTAGGCTATCTGACCTCTCAGAGCTTCATCTCATAGCCAGCCCCTCTTGGGTAGCAGCTGCTCACCCCCCACACCATTTAGGACCAGCATGGGTTCACAATAGGGTTGCAAAATTCTAGAAACTTTTCCAAATTCCCTATTTTTGTGGGGGGTGGGGGTGGTCTGAGTATTTTCAGAATCAGGAGGGAATAAGCTAAAGGAATTTCCAACGTGGAATTCTTCAACAGGGATTTTCTTTTTGTTGCTGGAATTTTGAAACCCTAGTTACTCCGATGTCATCGCTGATCAAACAACAGAGCTGCTTTCCCCTCTTTAGTTGGAATGCCAAGCAGCTGTCACAATCAACTGACAGCAATTTGGTTAAGTCAATAACGGAATAAGATCAATACATGTGGATCGTGTTCAGGAAGGGGGCAACGTACTGAACATTGCAGATAGAAATACACTGAATAGATCTGTAATGATTCCATACTCTACGAGTCAGTGGTGTCTGTTCTATGCAACATATTTCTACCTGAATGTCCCACAACGCTGTGCCCTACTGAGCGCGGCCCATTATCCAACTATCCAGTAAAAAAGCCAGAGAGAACATGACTGTGAACCTCAACAAATGTAACCTTCGAAAGCAGCTTTGTTGTTATGCCTGTTCAAAAAGTGTCAATGTTCAAAAGTTTAACATTTACAAATAATGTATATGATTGCCTTTTTCTCCCCATCGGTATCAGAAAAACCTCGTCATCATATGCAGTGTTGTATAGTTAGCGTTATGATTATGATCAAATTATGGTTGAGTTTTCTTAACTTTGTCTTACTGGACTCGAGGGTGGGCGGGGAAGCAGGGAGGAGTTGTCATGGTGATTATACATTTACCCAGAACCTCCTGCTGGCCTGGTGGGAAGAGAAAGCAGGAAGTCCTCAAAAGGAGCTTTACGGTAGCTTCTCGTTTTCCATTTTCAATATTGTCTGTTTGTATATTAACAATGCTTTATATGTTCATATACTGTTTAACTTGACCATGAAATGCCCTGGCAAAGTAATAAAATATATTTATTTTAAAATACATAACTTGTGGACGTGTTATAACCCGAATATTTAGATTTACTGTAGCCTTGAATACTGTGTGTGTGTGTGTGTGTGTGTGGTGTTCCTAAGGTTCTGCTCTGCAGGAAATAGAGTGAAGTCAATTAAGAAATTCAGACAGAAAACCCAACGGCCAGAGAATAATTTACATTTCATTGTTTACTTCCAAGTTCATGTTCAAAAAGGTACAGTCTCTTTTTTACTTTTTAAACAGTTAAAATGTGCTGAAGCACCGCGTTCCTAACTTCTAAAAGCCGCTTAGGACAAATACAGAACATTTCCATGGTAATAATAATAATTAAAAAAACAATTGTCTTGGTATGTATAATAAAAAGTGTAAAACACCTACACGGTAGAAAGCATTAAACGTCACCAATAAAATAAGAGTGGGGGAAATGTACAAAAGTCTGTGGGACACCGTACAGGGGTATTTCCACGAGCATGTCTGGTCCAGGTTGAATACTTAAACTAAATCCTTCCTTCCTACGTTGAAATAATCACACGACTGGATATTTATACAACCACTGCTTACACCTATCCCACCACTCGGATGATTTCTTCTAGGAAGTGAAGGAGGAAGGATGCACGTTAAAATGACTCAAGCGGTGTGTGTAAATGGATGTTCAAATTGTTTAAAAACCCATCCTTCCTTCCTGATTTCCTCGAGGTGATCACAGATCGTAAGTGATTGGATAGGTGACAGCATGGGGTACTAACCTATTACTTTCCCCAGTCCAACCAATGAAGATCTGGGATTACTTCAAGGGAGGGAGGAAGCATTTAAATAGCATTGGAACAGAGCCTGTGTGTGGGAGGGATTCCATGGTCTAGTCGAACATGTCGTACTGATCGTCGTCTGACCCTGATGCTGACTCAGCAAAGTACTTCACTTCCTTCTTGGCCCTGCCTCTGCCCGGTCGGTCTCGGGACTCCACGCCGGATTGGCTGAAACGGTTGGAGTCCACATCATCATCTGACATTGGGGATGGGGCCGCGGCTGCTTTCTTTGATGGCTTCTACACATGGAGAAGATGCTAAGTATCTTGTTGTATGGAAGGCTTAGTTTTTTTAGTATCTTCTTATATCCTATATAATTCAATGACACACATCCTTACCCTGCTGGTAGGGGCTTTGGGTGCTTTCCCAGGAGCCTTCTTGGGACTGAAATCATCCTCATCAGATCCAGACTGCTTCCTCTTCCTCCCTCCGCCTTTACCTGCACAGGTCAGGAGAAACACCCAGGTTACACTCCGTTCATATTCAGGTTACACTCTGTTCATTACCCAGGTCACATTCAGTTCATACCCTGTTTACACTATGTTCATACCCTGTTTTACACTAGGTCAATCTTATATATTCATAGAGAAATAGAGTGTAAGCTGACTGACTCTCCACCGATCATTGTGAGGTAAGCCTGTACCTTTGAGTGCTGGTGCAGGCTTCTTGGAGCCGGTATCTGAGTCTGAGTCCCAGACAGACGTGTCCAGCTTCTGTTTTGTTGGCGCTTTGGGTACTGGTGCTTTCCTGGGTTTGGGAGCTGCATCCGAAGGCTTCTTCACTGCTGTGATTAACAGAGAGTGAGCCAATCAATAACAATAAGTATCTCAGCAAGACACCATGGATGCGTCTAAAAAGGCACCCTATTCCCTTTATAGTGCACTATATTCAACAGCACCAACATTATCAGTATCTTTTTAACCACCCTTGGTAGTGAGATTTGCATTAGTGCTCCCTCTAGCTGCAGATGTGGGTGTTACCAGAGTCATAGATCGCAACCTGTCCTCTGGGCAATTTGTGAGATTGGGGTATGTAAACTTTGCCCCTCAATTTAATATATGTTACATTATGAATGTGATAGCAGTCATACAACATCATACGAATTGGAGGATGCATAGTATCATACGTCTTACCTGGTCGTACAATATCATACAAATTGGAGGTCTATAGTATCATATGTAGTAGAGGACGTATAGTATTATACGTCTTGCTCTGAGACCAGGCTGCTTGTTGTGTCATAATGACAGGACAATTTTGCCTAGAAGGTCATGAGAATTAGGTTAAGGTTAGGAAAAAGGTTAGGGGAAGGGTTAGCTAAAATGCTACAGTTGTCCCCGACGCAACTCGAACACGCAACCTTTGGATTGCTAGACGGTCGCGGTATACGCCCACCCATCCTCCCCGACCAACCTCCCTATCGTTCTGTCTTAAGTAAGCAGACCGTTATTTAATTTGAAACGTAACATATACTTAATGAAGGTACACAAATGTACGCTCCAAAGTGTATGTCTATTTAATGTGGCCAGGCTGTAGATACATATATGGCTCTGTATGTTACCTTTCTTAGCTGGGACAGGTTTGTTGAAGGCAGAGCTGCTGGAGTATGAAGAGAAGGCCTTGTCTTCCCCGTCACTGTCCAACTTCAGATCATCTGGAAGAGAAGAGTAACAGACATTAACCCTCAGATGAACATTGGGACTAGGAGCTTATTAACATACAAAGTCCTTTTTCATAGACAAACACACAAGACTTGAAATAACGACAATAAATATACATCTTTAACCTTTTACTAAAGAAAGTACACGACAAGGCAAACCTGCTGAGCTTGTTGTGCGAACTCACCACTGTCGTTGCTCTTTTCAGAGGAGCAGGCTGATTTAGAGGAGGAGAATATACTCTCTGGTTCCTTCTTCTTCTTTGCTGGTGAGACGATGGTGGTGGTCTGTTTGGGCGGTGGGAAGATATCTTCATCATCCTCATCATTGCTGTGGTCGTTGTATCGGTCTTTAGTCTCGGAGGAGGCAGTGAAGTCATCTTTGCAGGGCCGGGCTGGCGAGGACGCAGCAGCAGCATCATCATCATCCTCCTCCTCATCCTCTTCCTCTCCTCCATCCTCTTCCTCACTGAAGTCAAAGGTGTACTTGGGCTTGGCCGCTGAGGAACAGAAAAAGTTCATTATAAGTATGGGTGTGTTTTGAATCACTTGTTGTAGTTGCAGCAGATTGATTTGTAATGATTTCTGAAAGGCAGCATGTCCTAATAGCCCACTGCTAGCAATAAGGAACAGCTACAGAGTTCATTTGGAGTTAGTGCGAGTCAAATCAGTGTTTTGAGAGCTGAGTACCGTAGCATAACCTCTCCTATTGCATATGGATTGCGTCACGCTGCAGTCAGACTTCAGGCTCATCAAGCCAGGGAGAACCAGACATTCAGACTTACAAAGAGCTGATGGAGTTTGAAGTTATAGTCACCCCGGGTTACAGACAGCATAGTGTGTAGAATGACAATGAGCCAAAACGATTATGTTAGAATTAGCAAGGCTAGAGATATTTCTGACCACATGACCTGCAAAGGGAATGGATCACTGCCGTTACCTTGCTTTCCAAACAAGGTGCATGAATTGAGGAGCAAACTGGGTTAGAGAGGAGATTCAGCAACACTTGGAGGTCAAATGGAATTACATTTAAAAAATCATCTTTATTGCAAAAAGTAGAACCAACGCATTTCGGCTTTTGGCCTTCTTCAGGGTTTTTACAAAAATAAGAATGAGGCTTTTAAACATTTGAAAATGGCCAATCACAAAGAATATGCAAATAAAAACATAATAAGATTGGTTAAAGCAGTTGTAGAAAGACCAACCAATCGACTAAGTGACTGGACCAGGAAAAACTCTGGGCCCAGTTAATCTCTTGTGGACAGATCTACGTCAACATAACTGGTACAGTACAATCTATGGTGAAGGAATGGGATGAGCAGCAGTAGTTCCGGTGTTTGGGTTTTTCATCACTGGTTATTTGGACAAATCACGATTTCGCAGGTGTTAGCATCTTTCGAATTTCGGAAGGGGAGGGGACGTTCGGCCCGTAACTTGCAAAGAGAGAGCGCGAGCGAGCTACTCGTTCCGGTTCTGTTCCTTGTTCTAGCATTTCTTCAGCTATTCTCTTAACAGGTATAGACCTAGAACTTAATCGAGCAGCTGACCAATTAGGCAAGACTTTAGTTCTGGGTTAACCGAGATTAGGGCCCAATTAACTACTGTTAACTGCTGTGGTCAGGAAAATGCCTGTCCCTAGTTCTAACAGGTCAGTGAACACGAAATTGAAGAAAACACCCCAAAACAGAGTGAAACAGGAAGCTACTGTCTGAACTTATCCAACAAAAAACTCTTCTTCACGCTTTCCGTTTTAATGGTGTGCCCTAATGAACACAGTAGGTAGGTGGTTACCTGAGGCCCGTTGTGACTTGGTGTCTCGGGGGATGACCACAGGTTCACTGTCCTCCAGGTCGCTCTCTGATTTGGACTCGTCCTCCGACCAGGGGTTCCGCTTCTTCACCTTCTTACCAGATGCTCCTTTGGGTGTGGGGGTTTTCCTGGCTCTGGGAGCACCTGATATAGAGAAAAGGGTTTATTCATTCAGATTTTGGGTATTTTATTTAATAGCCATGAAGTCCTGAAACTGTGTTGATGTGTGAGAGTTCATGTGTGATTAAAATAAATGAGTACCAAAGTTTGCTCTAGTGGTAGCACTTCTGACTTCCAACTACAAATTGCCCCAAGAGGTGGGGATCCAATCATTGGGTCCACCACCTTCCTGACTTGTGTATCCCTCTCACTTGTCTCCCCTTCTCCCACAACTCATGACTGAACCTCAATATGATGACAGACACATGAAAGGAGAATGGAACATCTGCTGACCTGGCTCCTTCTTCTCCCGTTTGACCCGGGGGGCCTTGGGCTTGGCTGGGGCTGAGGCTGGTGGATTAAAGGATGAGTTGAGGGAGTTCTCCCCTGTTCCTCCGTCTGAGCCCAGCACTCCCATCTCATCATCAAACTCCATCTTCATTACCAGGTCCGCATCACCCTGAAAGACCAACACACACACACACACACACGTCATGTCTAATGCCTGGAAACACACAGAGACCAACGCAAACAATGGCGTTTTATGTTGGGCTATGACGGAGTTATACAGTTGAACTAAGCTCATACGGCACTGATAAGAGATATTCTTCAAGAATCAATGGGTATAAATCATCAACTTCAATGATTGGAATTGTCTGGAAACATTCTAGACTGGACCTAGAGAGGATCCATTTTAAAAACAAAATGTGTTACCTTCTTCTTCTTGGTCATCTTCTTGGAGGCGTCAGTCTTCATGGCCTGTGTGATGGTGGGTACGACCCTGCGGCCGTATGGTGAGGGAAACGTCTCCTCCAGGTGGAGTTTCTTCACCTTGGGCTTGCCCACCTTGCCCTTCACCAGCTTGGTACCTTTACCTGCACTCATGTCTGCCTGCTCCTGGGCCTCGATTTTCTGTCACACGCACAGGGAGGGAATACACCTCAGTCACTTTTTGTAAATCGTCTAAGTCACTTGGATTGAGGTGACATTTATAGTGAAAGGAGATAAAACCCAAAGAAATCACTTTTTTTACCAATTAATCTGCCGTTAGTAAGGCCAGGAGAAAGAAACCTTGAGATTACCCGACTTCTCCCCAACAAAAGCAGTCTCGCACAAGTAGGTATAAATGTCAGCAGTGACTCAGAGATGAGTGGCACCGCTGCACATAGCGCTAGCACCACTTACATCCAGTTCTTCAATGAAGACAGCCAGGTCCTCCTTCCACAGGTCCTCTGGAGACTTCCTCTGCAGCTCATTCAACTCTCCTTTCTGTTGAACAACACACACTCAGTTGATAAAAGACGTGGCGCTAGTAACACCGAGATTGTGGGTTCATTTCCCTCTGCGATCACATACACAGATTCAAAAAGTACTGATATGCACGCACTATGCTCCAAGAACAAAACACACACAACCGTTAGAAGTAGGGGTGTAACGATCCATCTACTACATCGATGTATCGATTTATATTCCTATGATCCAACCACATCGATCTGTGCTCGGCGAGTTGGCCTTTTGGACAACATATATCGATCTAACATCGTTTTAAAATGTAATAAATCGATTGTATCGATACTAGGAAATAACCCATTGGATTTAAGCACGTCAGACTTTATATGGATGTTTTTTCTTAGCACTTTTAATGATAAAGGCTTTAAACATTACTCGATTCAGTCTGCCTATCCGTGACGTCATCGCGCCAACAGCAGCGCAAAGGCGCAAAGACAACAAAACATAGCATGGCGGACGAAAGAGGAGAAGCCGACGAGCAAGAAATTATCAAGCCACCATTGCGGTCCTTACAAGAAACAGGAATCTAGGAAACTTCACCTGCACTGTCCAGTATCCAGGTATTTATTTCAGTCACACTGGTTGAATTTTTGGCTAAAAGGTTACTGAATCGATTTCAAGTCACTGAATCGTTTCGGATCGTATCGTTCTAAATGAACCAATATCGTCCTTGAATCGTATCGACAACCACGAATCGTGATACAAATCGAATCGTTGTTAAAACGAATCGTTACACCCCTAGTTAGAAGAGACACAGCCCTTGACTACTTGTGGAATGTTGCTGCAAATGAATAGCCCTTTGGGGACGATAAAGATCTATTGAATTGAAAGTCCTTGACAGTCGGGTGTCTACACCCGTCCTCTCTGCGTGAGCAGTCAGTACCTTGATGTCTCTCTGTCGGAGCAGCTCGTCCACCTTCTCCTTGGACAGGCACCACAGAGGCATGTTGAGGATGTAGTTGAAGTTTGGTCCCGACGACGACCCAGAGTCCACAGAGCTGTCACTGTCGTTACCGTCACGATCGTCCTCCTCCAGAGCCTATAGGGAGAGACCAGGAAGACGCATAGTCCAATCAGAACACAGGGTGTTGAAGCGTCATGCGGTCTCAGCCAGTCACAGGGCTGAATGGTGGACAGTGGCAGGATGCTAACAGTACCTTTTCCTGTGCTTTGGTCCATGCCGCCACGGGGTCCGACTCAAAGCCTTTCTGCACCAGCATCCTGATCAAATCCCTCTTAGACTTGTTCTCTATAGACAAACAACATTAATATATCAGTATTCTAGTAACAAATTGAAATAAGAATCGAGAGAGAGACAGAGAGAGAGCGATGCAGGTCAAATTCTCACCGATTGTGATCTTTCCTTCGATCTTCTCCAGCACAAATCGTGCCTGATTGGACAGTTTGGAAGCATCCGCCCCCAGGCTCCCCACTAGCCAATCCTTCCTGAGCTTGTAGTAGTGCAACCGCAGCTCAAAGAACTCCTTGAGAATGTCCTGGACCGAGTCATACCTCTTCAGACAGCCCATGTGGTCAAACAACACCTGAGGGGTGAAGAGCAACTACTTTAGATACCTCTCCTTTTCAAAACAGGTTAAAAACCACGGATCACTTCAAAATGTTCTTCACTTTTTAGATGATAGACTCATTCCAAAGAATCCCGTCATCCGGGCACATGTGATTCCTATAAGAGGAGTGCTCTGTATATACACAAAACAGAGCACTTCATCCAAAGAGGTATGTATAATGAATCAACAATGGGAGTCAATACAGCTATCAGTTCAACTCAAATACAGGGTCGTATTCATTAGGGCAAACCGTTTTGTGACGGATAATGAAAACAAGCATTTATCATTGGACAAGCTCAGGTAGTTTCTCCCTGTTTCAGTCCGTTTTCTTCCCTTTGGTGCCTAGTGAATAGGACCCAGATTTGAGGAGTGGTACTAACCATTGAGTTGCAGGTGAGGCTGGACTGTAGCTTGAAGACTTTGTGTAGTCCTGCAGCCTCTGCCTGGGCCAGCTTCTCCTCTGACATGCGGACCACAAACTTGACGGTTTGGTCCGTGTGGTACTCCTTATAGTCATTGATCAGAGCTGGAGTCTTCTCTGTCCCCTGGAGCATGGGCTCTAGTACAGACTCCTTGTAAGCCTGGCAGGAGAGAGGAGAGAGGGAGGGGAGGAGAGGAGAGAGAGGGGGAGGAGAGGGAGAGAGGGAGGGGAGGAGAGGAGAGAGAGGGGGAGGAGAGGGAGAGAGGGAGGGGAGGAGAGGGGGAGGAGAGGGAGAGAGGGATGGGGAGGAGAGGAGAGAGAGGGGGAGGAGAGGGAGAGAGGGAGGGGAGGAGAGGAGAGAGAGGGGGAGGAGAGGGAGAGAGGGGGAGAACAAAGTCCATTACAAGAACTAACAAACATAATATCACAGCATTGAAACAACAGTTCAACATCTCCTTTATTCAGATGACCAGAATTGCTGGACAGGTGTGATATACCCTGTCATTAGCAATAGTGTACCTGTGTCCAGGTGCGAACGGGCAGCTCAGTGATCTCAATGGTGTTCTTGTCCAGGACAGAGATCTCCCCACTGACCATGTACTGGTTCTGGCCCAACTCATGGATCACTCCTTTAAAGTTCTTATAGCTGGGCAGCTGGGAGAGGAGAGAGAGGTAGGAATATTCAGTCCTCATTATGATAGATTACTTACTCATAACATGATTAACACAAATCTTGATTATAAATGACCAACAGCAGACAGAAAGTTGGTGGTTTATCCCGTTCTACCCAAAAAATTGTTTTAGCTAAAGGTTTTAATGTATAATTTTACATTTTAGTCATTTAGCAGATGCTCTTAGAGCGACTTACAGTTTGTGAGTGCATACATTTTTCATACTGGCCCTGGTATCAATCTACACAAATATTATCTGAGTTGATATGTTTTAAGCAATAAAATCCTAAAACCAAAAATGGACAATAGCGCTGCTTGTATGTCCACAACAAATTTCCCCTCTGGGACAATAAAGTTGATCTTAGCTTATGTAATCAAATACGTTTCAAACTTCTAAATGTTTACCATGGGCAGAGGGTCCTGCATGTTGAGCATGCGGTAGAGGTTGTTGACTATCTCTCTGTGGTCGTAGTTAGGGATCTTGCAGGCCCAGCCCGTCCCGATGCCCTCGGCCCCGTTCACCAGCACCATAGGGAGGATGGGGATGTACCACTCTGGCTCTACCTTCTGGTTGTCATCGAATAGGAACTTCAGCAGGCTGGAGTCCACCGCTGGGAACAACATCTTGGCCAGGGGACTAAGGAAGTGACATTACTTCATAATAAATACATTTTTTAAGCATTTTGAGTTTTAATGTGTTTTATGAAAGGTGATGTATAAAGAAAGTTTACATGAAATGTATCATTAAAAAAGGTGACTTTTTTTGTATCAAGCAGGTATGACTGCACCTCAGGATGGCCCACTGGCCCATACAAATCATACAACAAGTAGACCAATCAAATAGCTAGCACAATTCTGTTATGACCTTTGACCCTAGAGGCATTACCTGAGCATGGTGAAGATGTAACGGGGGCTGGCAGCGTCCTTGCCCCCGTTGATGCGGGTACCAAACTGACCCAGCGGCTGCAGGATGTTCACGTTGTTGCTGCCCACAAAGTTCTGGGCCAAGTTCACAATCGTCATCAACAGGGATTGCTGTTCACACACATACAGAGGCACACGTGTCAAAACAATGTTGTTGTGGGAAACACAAAGTATCTTCAGACAGTATTGATTTAAAGTGGAAGATAGCGCTCTAAGTATATTCCATATAGCTCTGTAAGAGTGTCCGGACCTCTCCGTGATGGTAGGCAGACATCTCTGCTACTGAACCAGCCAGCTGAGCCACCTTCACCTCCCGCTTATCATTCCTCTTCATACAGGTGAACAGCACCTTCCTCTGACCTGGCTTCAGACCTGCACGCATACACATATGACATCATCAAAAGGGGACCACACCACAAACACATATCTTCAAAAGGGGATCACAAGTGGACCGCAGGAGGAGTAGGTGTTGCAACAAACAGCTAATGGGGATTTGTTAGATTAACTTGGATTTTAAGAATAATGACTAAAGGATTTCACCCCAAATACAGTATAAATGTTAGAATTATCATGTAGTGTCAACCCACTAACAGAGGGGGCGGTACTAAACATTCAAGGGTGAAGGAGAAGGCGGAAACTGTTTAGAAAAGCCACCTAAAGGTGGGAGGAGTCAAGTTCAGGAGGTATAAAATTGTATGTTTGTGTTGAATATACAGATAATACTTGTTGGTTGTGGACCTTGAATCATTGAATCATTGATGATTAAAACCAGAGCCTTACAACCTCTGGTAATGATTCAAGCTTAGGTTGAATTAGAGATAGAAATTCACGTGACAGGATTCAAATAAACAAATGATACACGTCATCATCAAAAGGGGACCACATCACACACATAAAAAATGCATCAAGAGGACAGTGAAGAACTGTTAAAAACAGGTTTGCAGGCTTTTCAGTTCCCTTATTAAACTTCAAAGCCATTTGACAACAAACACAACAACAAAAGCTACTAAGACAGAGTTGTCCAGAAAGATAGCTAGTCTAGTGGATCGCTGCATACGTACCGTCGACTAAGGATGGGATGGATCTCTCGTTGTCGGAGTTGGAGAAGAGGATGAGTTCTTTGTTGATGAAGTCGTTGTAGGAGAGGTGTTTCGCCTGCGTGCCGTACAGGTATTGCTGCATGGGGACAATAAAAGGATGAAACGTAAAGTGACTTGGATCAGGGCTATGATGTTGTTATGGTCTTATCAGTGCCACATGGGAGAGCGGTGTCTCCTTTGCATCAGTGACCGACAGCAAACAGAGTCATTTACAAAACTGTGTTCCGTATCGGTGTTCCATACAGGTATTGCTGTAGGATGAGACAGAAATAAACAGACTTGAAGTAGCGCTCTGATGATGTCACCAGTGTTAGACCTGGCTCTGATGGGATTCACATGGGGAAAGCAGCTGCTACTTTACATCAATGATAAACAGTAAAGAGAGAATTTTCGGGATATTTCCATTTCAATGCTTAGGATATCTGGGGAACACAGAAACCATCAGATGTTTGTGAATCTGAGCCAGCTAGAAGACTCTAAACGAGCTGTGATAAATCATGGTCCAAGTAACTCCCATGGTGGAGAGATGCCTGTATGAAAACAGAAAGATCTAAACAGTCTACATCCTCTTCCTTTAATCAAACTCCAATATCTAAATGTCTCTCACAGGGCGCATCTCAATAGTCTGTTGCTTCCCCTCCTCTCCTTTCCTTCATCTGCACTGATGTGAATGATCTGGACCGTCTCTCACATTGCAGATGGAACCTAGATGTTTCAGTGAAGCACACTTGAGTGCTGAGTAACCGTTGCAGAGACCTGAAGATTTACGCTATAGGAGGTATGCAAAACTTGTTATACTGGCTGTATTTCTGCCTGCTTGAATGGTGAATAACTCAGATACATATGAAAACAAGAAATGACCCTGGGAATTGATAGAACATCGCTTAGAGATGCACAAATACGATATAACATAAACAAATGGGTGAATCTTTCCTTTGACATACAGGAAACCCGGGTTTGAACCCAGTCGGTCACACAGTCAGTCCCACCCACCTCTGGCAGGCCGTGCATCCTCCTCTGTCTCCTGTCCTCCATGAAGTTGGTGAGCCACTCCTTCCTGTCGTCAGTCTTCTTCTTACTGAACGCCTAGAGACCGACAGCAAAGGATAGATCACTGTTAGTGTCAGTCAAATGAAATCACTGTCAGTCCTCTCTCCATTTGGCAAGGATTTCATAAGCAGAACACAGACAAATAACAAAGTTGTGAGTTGATAGAAGGTTGGAAGAAAGCGCTAATCACGTTTGTGCGAAAGCAAAACTAGCTTGATGAATAGATTTTCAAAAATATTTGAGCCATTTCAGAATAGATTTTCTAACTTTTCTAGCCATTTTTTCTGTACATTTACTGAAACAGTGTTCAAAGACCATGACAGGGAAAGGAGAGAGACATGGTATCCATGTTAAACCCACCAGTGTGATGGCAGCATCGTCCTCTGTCCCGGCGTATCTGAACATGATCCGGTGTTTCTCCATGTCTGCAAAGTACTCCTTGGCCTCCTTGCTTGTGCTGGTACCCAAACCTGGAACACAAACAAACGAACACTCAAACCCTTTTCACATTACCGTGCCAACCCAAATTATGCTAACAGGCTCAGATATATATTTTCCACATTGTCCTTTCCAGCATGCTCCAGTAACTATGGTGGACGTATATTCAGGCCAGCACAGTAGGGCTTGGCCCGAATTGCCTCAGTAGTGTGAAACAGAATACCTTCTAACAATAATGGTTAGTTTGGAGGAATATCCACATGATGAACATACCTTTGTAGTACTTTATATGCCAGGTTTTAAAGTTGACCGTCTGTTTCTTCCATTCGTCAAACTCTGGAATGCTGTAGAAAGCAAACTCCTGCTTATTCTTGTTCACCTGCAGGAAAGAGTTAAAAGCAGAATTACAACCATGTTTGCTAAATTTAAGTCATGCCAATCTAAACGTTGTTTGTGTTATAACAGTTTAAAGTTAGTTGCCATAAGCTGACATCAGCAGTCAAGACTATCATGTAGTCCTTGTCCTATGATGGAGGTTTCGGTCAGTGTAGATTTGCAAACACTGAAGAGTTCGAGCCAAGGGGAAGTGGTAGGGAGAAAATTGGCACCGGCTGTTCCAATGTATAAATCTTACTTTGAATCTGTATAGAATGTGTGTAATAGTCCAGAACCCCTGCTATTACCTGTGTGAGTCTTACCTTAACGATGGGCGTGATGAACTCCTCCAGGAAGGTGTGTTTGAGCAGGGATGGCCAGTTGTGATGGAAGAAGTTGATGAGCAAACCCTTGATATGGGAGCCATCTTGATCCTGTCAGCAGATAATCAACCCAAACACACACTATTAGTATGGATTGTTATGACCCAAGGGTATGTCCAAAATCATACCCTATTCCATATGTAGCGCACTACCTTTGGTGCGCTACACCATACTATATAGGGAATAGCGTGCCATTGCAGATCAACCTTAAGAGAGTGTAAGTTCAACAAAACAAGGCTTTGAGCGTGCATAATGTATGTATTGTTACTACAATTATTGACTATGATAATTACAAGACATCGGTCAATTTTAGACGTCAGTCGTTGATGGGATTGATTAAGTGTTAGAACCTGATCGGTCATGATCATGATCTTGCCGTAGCGTAGGGATCTCAGAGACTCTGGGTCCTCGTAGCTCTTCTTGTACTGCAGACCCACGATCTTGATGATGTTGTTGATCTCTGCGTTCTCCATGATCTGGAGGGAAAGAGAAATGTATGTGTCAGTGTTTCCCCTACCATAATATAGGCAGGGTGGGCCACCCTAGCTCTGGTGGACACTACCTAAAAGAGTTTGGCTTCAGTTGATCTCAATTTACATTTTCAGTTGATCGGAATGGTTCTTGCGCCACATTTGGGAAATAATTGATGTAAATCCCTTTTGTATTTATCTGTTTACAAGATCATTTATTATTGTGGTGTACGCCCGATAGCTACTTGAATCATTTAGATTGCAATCACCCATACACTCTCCCAGACCAACCGAACGGCTCTCTAGTCACTCACCTGTTTGTGTGTGGCCTCTCGTACATTCAGGATCTTTCCTCTTAGTGGGAAGACACCATAGCGATCTCGCCCGATGACGCCGAGGCCGGAGACGGCCAGGGACTTGGCTGAGTCTCCCTCAGTCAGGATCAGAGTGCATTCTGAAGAGTGTTTACCACCTAGGGGTGAAGACGGAGGTAAGACGCGCAGTTCAGTGTGTGTTTAAACAATCTCGTGTTTCCCCAACAAAATTATAAGTGGGGTGGGGCCCAACCGCCTAGCTCTGTTCCCCCAGCCCAATTAAATATCTTCAACTAGTTTCAATATAAACATTTGGTAAAATAGGCCCTCTTGGTGGATAAGTAGATTACGAACACAGTAGGGCTTATACACACAGCGCAGAGTAGTTGTGGTTGCCTTACCGGCATCGTTGGCGTCATCCAGCTTGGGGATGCCTTTAATCTTGCTGTGCTTCACTGAAGAACACTTCTTGTTGAGTTGTGTCTGGGCCTTGAACTTCACCCAGTTCAGGATACTCTCCACGATGCCACAGTTAGTCGCCTGCAGACAAAATAAAGAATTGAACATGATATATCATTGTTTAATACTCCAGGTGAACCGAGAACACAAGAGGACATGGAACAGATTTTAGTGATCATATGATTTCAATTCAATCTAAATAACTTGACTTTCTCTGTGAGGAAGCAGTGTATGTGGAGAATAAATGCCCAACATAGGATGTATACATGTAGGAGGTAGTGATATCTCATTGTGGTGAAGAAAAGTAATTTACCGCTCTGATAAACTTCTCAGACAGAGGGCACTTAGAACCAAAGCTCTTGGTCTGGAGAGTCATGTTCTCCTTGGTCTGGGAGTCAAAGGTCGGGTTCTCGATCAACGCATTCACAAACACCCAGATGTGGTTCTTCACCTGATGTAGAGGAAAACAAAGCATTAAGATTGACCAAACTTTACATTAGATTGCTCCTATTCCAGTGTAGTAAGAATGTAATTACTACTAACACTTTTGTAGTAACATAGTAATAACACAGTAATAAGATAGTAATAACTAACCTGGAAGGGTTTGACTGAGACACCAGCTTTGTTCTTCTTCTTCACCACTTCTATCAGCTTGGCTACGATCTGGTCCACCACGTAATCAATGTGTCTGCCACCCTGAATGGCACAAAACAAGCAGTGTAGTACATAAAACATGTCTGATGTGGTTGAAAGTGATTCAAGTCATACTCCAAGATGTGAATACCATCAAAATGCACACTCATCTCAGTATATTTACACATGCAAATAGCACTTCATTTCTGTCCATTATTCCTAGATTGGTCAAGTCATAGTTTTCCAAATCAAAGGGTATATTTCTGGTAATACAGTGCATTCGTAAAGTATTCAGACCCCTTGACTTTGTGTTAGTCTTATTCTAAAATATATATTTTTGCAAATATCCACATTAATCTACACACAATACCCCATAATGACAAAGCGAAAACAGGTTTTTAGAAATTTTGGCAAATGTATAAAAAATAAATTTAAAAAATACCTTATTTACATAAGTATTCAGACCCTTTGCTATGAGACTCGAAATTGAGCTCAGGTGCATCCTGTTTCCATTGATCATCCTTGAGATGTTTCTCCAAATTGATTAGAGTCCACCTGTGGTAAATTCAATTGATTGGACATGATTTGGAAAGGCACACACCTGTCTATATAAAAGTCCCCAGTTGACAGTGCCAAGCCATGAGGTCAAAGGAATTGTCCGTAGAGCTCCGAGACAGGATTGTGTCGAGGCACAGATCTGGAGAAGGGTACAACAAATGTCTGCAGCATTGAAGGTCCCCAAGAACACAGTGGCCTCCATCATTCTTAAATGGAAGAAGTTTGGAACCACCAAGACTCTTCCTAGAGCTGGCCGCCCAGCCAAACTGAGCAATCGGGGGAGAAGGGCCTTGGTCAGGGAGGTGACCAAGAACCCGATGGTCACTCTGACACAGGTCCAGAGTTCCTCTGTGGAGATGGGAGAACCTTCCAGAAGGACAACCATCTCTGCAGCACTCCAACAATCAGGCCTTTATGGTAGAGTGGCCAGACGGAAGCCATTCCTCAGTAAAAGGCACATGACAGCCTGCTTGGCATTTGCCAAAAGGCATCTAAAGACTCGCAGACCATGACAAACAAGATTCTCTGGTCTGATGAAACCAAGATTGAACTCTTTGGCCTGATAGGCAAAAGTCACGTCTGGAGGAAACCTGGCCCCGTCCCTACGGTGAAGCATGTTGGTGGCAGCATCATGCTGTGGGGATGTTTTTCAGTGACAGGGACTGGGAGACTAGTCAGGATCAAGGGAAAGATGAACGGAGCAAAGTACAGAGAGATCCTTGATGAAAACCTGCTCCAGAGCACTCAGGACCTCAGACTGGGGCAAAGATTCACCTTCCAACAGGACAATGAGACCCTAAGCACACGGCCAAGAAAACGCAGGAGTGGCTTCGGGACAAGTCTCTGAATGTCCTTGAGTGGCCCAGCCAGAGCCTGGACTTTACCCCAATCTAATATCTCTGGAGAGACCTGAAAATAGTTGTGCAGCGACGCTCCCCATCCAACCTGACAAAGCTTGAGAGGATCTGCAGAGAAGAATGGGATAAACTCCCCAAATACAGGTGTGCCAAGCTTGTAGCGTCATACCCAAGAAGACTCAATGCTGTAATCGCTGCCAAAGTACTGAGTAAAGGGTCGGAACACTTATGTAAATGTAATATTTCCGTTTTTTATTTGTAAGAAACGCAATTGTTTTTGGAATAAATCTGTTTTTGCTCTGTCATTATGGGGTATTGTGTGTAGATTTTAGAATAAGGCTGTAACGTAACAAAATGTGGAAAAATCAAGTGGTGTAAATACTTTCTGAATGCAGTGTATAACAGACTGACTTAACAACATCATTCCCTGAGGGGATGTTACCTTGGTGGTGGCAATACTGTTGACGAAGCTGATCTGTTGGAATCCCTTCTCACTCATGGTAAGACACACTTCCCAGCGCTCGTTGACGGACTCGTTGACCACCTTTAGGGCCACGCCCACCTCGTCCAGCTTATCCTTCACGTACAGGTCCACATAGCTGCGGAACCCTGTCACCTGAGACGACAAGGACAGGTGAGAGGAGCCTAAACCGGGTCTGGATAGTGGCACCGGTTCTGTAAAGGTTATTAGCAAATTACATTGTATTGAAACAGGTGTAGTGAAATGAGCTGTTTTATTTAAAGTCCAAAACTTTTTGCCCAGGGTCTTCCAAGACTTGGCACCTTATGTACAGCATGTTGTCTGTGTATATGGGCCAGCCCATCTTACTATGTGCGGTTACATGGGGTGGGGGAGACTTACAGGGAGTTTCTTCCCGTTGAGCATGACTTTGACGCCCTTGCAGGAGCCAGCGATGTCGTAGGCCCTCTTGGTGAGCAGAGCCACGATGTCCTTGTCTAGCTTCTCCATCTTGAACTTGGACAGGTCCGGCTGGAAGGTCACACACGTGAAGTCGTCCCCGTCAAAGAACTTGATCTTGGGGTCGCTCGTCTTGCCCATGTTGTTCTGCCAGGTCTAGGGAGGGAGAGAGAAAGAGAGGGACAGAGATTGTAATGAAATTCACTACTTCTTCACATGCTAAGGAAACTAGAATTAATCATGAGGTTGTATGGTGAAATTCCATCAAAAGAGATACAAGTTAATAAAAAGCCTTGTGAAACTGATTGAACAAACTCTGGTGAGTCATTTCATTGAAAGTGACAATTGTAGGACAAACCACATACAGTGAGGGAAAAAAGTATTTGATCCCCTGCTGATTTTGTACGTTTGCCCACTGACAAAGACATGATCAGTCTATAATTTTAATGGTAGGTTTATTTGAACAGTGAGAGACAGAATAACAACAAAACAATCCAGAAAAACACATGTCAAAAATGTTATAAATTGATTTGCATTTTAATGAGGGAAATAAGTATTTGACCCCTCTGCAAAACATGACTTAGTACTTGGTGGCAAAACCCTTGTTGGCAATCACAGAGGTCAGATGTTTCTTGTAGTTGGCCACCAGGTTTGCACACATCTCAGGAGGGATTTTGTTCCACTCCTCTTCGCAGGTCTTCTCCAAGTCATTAAGGTTTCGAGGCTGACGTTTGGCAACTCGAACCTTCAGCTCCCTCCACAGATTTTCTATGGGATTAAGGTCTGGAGACTGGCTAGGCCACTCCAGGACCTTAATGTGCTTCTTCTTGAGCCACTCCTTTGTTGCCTTGGCCGTGTGTTTTGGGTCATTGTCATGCTGGAATACCCATCCACGACCCATTTTCAATGCCCTGGCTGAGGGAAGGAGGTTCTCACCCAAGATTTGACGGTACATGGCCCCGTCCATCGTCCATTTGATGCGGTGAAGTTGTCCTGTCCCCTTAGCAGAAAAACACCCCCAAAGCATAATGTTTCCACTTCCATGTTTGACGGTGTGGATGGTGTTCTTGGGGTCATAGGCAGCATTCCTCCTCCTCCAAACACGGCGAGTTGAGTTGATGCCAAAGAGCTCGATTTTGGTCTCATCTGACCACAACACTTTCACCCAGTTCTCCTCTGAATCATTCAGATGTTCATTGGCAAACTTCAGACTGCACTGTATATGTGCTTTCTTGAGCAGGGGGACCTTGCGGGCGCTGCAGGATTTCAGTCCTTCGCGGCGTAGTGTGTTACCAATTGTTTTCTTGGTGACTATGGTCCCAGCTGCCTTGAGATCATTGACAAGATCCTCCTGTGTAGTTATGGGCTGATTCCTCACCGTTCTCATGATCATTGCAACTCCACGAGGTGAGATCTTGCATGGAGCCCCAGGCCGAGGGAGATTGACATTTATTTTGTGTTTCTTCCATTTGCGAATAATCGCACCAACCGTTGTCACCTTCTCACCAAGCTGCTTGGCGATGGTCTTGTAGCCCATTCCAGCCTTGTGTAGGTCTACAATCTTGTCCCTGACATCCTTGGAGAGCTCTATGGTCTTGGCCATGGTGGAGAGTTTGGAATCTGATTGATTGATTGCTTCTGTGGACAGGTGTCTTTTATACAGGTAACAAACTGAAATTAGGAGCACTCCCTTTAAGAGTGTGCTCCTAATCTCAGCTCGTTACCTGTGTAAAAGACACCTGGGAGCCAGAAATCTTTCTGATTGAGAGGAGGTAAAATACTTATTTCCCTCATTAAAATGCAAATCAATTTATAACATTTTTGACATGCGTTTTTCTGGATTGTTTTGTTGTTATTCTGTCTCTCACTGTTCAAATAAACCTACCATTAAAATTATAGACTGATCATTTCTTTGTCAGTGGGCAAACGTACAAAATCAGCAGGGGATCAAATACTTTTTTCCCTCACTGTAAACAAAGACAACAGAAATAACCTAAATCCCCCAAAACTATGCAGAATCCTACAATAATCAACATAAAAATCCTGTGTGACCACACCCGACAGTGCAAATCAACTCATACTCGCCCCCTTATATGTTTTCAAGTCACATACTGTACTCCTACAAAACATCAAATGGAGTTCAGCTGTTTGATGAATGTTCTTTTCAACAGATGTCAAATCACACTGTGCTTTCTCGTCGTCTGTACCTGTTTGAAGCTGTGTTTGTACTCTTTGCAGGCGGTTTCCACTGTGAACTTTGTGCTGAAAATATTGCAGAGTTTAGCACCGTACCCGTTCCTTCCACCTAGGAGGAAAACAGAAGAGAGACATGCTTTCATCTATGGAGAGATTGTCCTTGAAGAGCTATAGTCATTCACTCATTCCAGTGTTGTGTTACTAAGCACTGCAAGGGGCACTACAAAACTATTCAGTTGAGATCATAAAAGCAGACAGTAAAAATGGTTTAGGTTAGAAGTTCTGTCTGAAGCTGTATGGAATCCATATGAAATGGTGTTCCACAAATGGACAATAAATACATAAATAATACATTAATTAGATTCTCGTTTTCAGAGTGATTTTGTCACCTGTGACTTTCTTCTGCTCGTCGTCGTAGTTACTGGAGGTGAGGAGGTGTCCGAAAATGAGAGCAGGAACGTACATCTTCTCATCTTTGTGTTCCACCACGGGGATGCCTTTACCATTGTTCCAGATGTTTATGGTGTTGGACTCACTGAGGGAAGAGAGGAGAGGGGGATGATGAACGTAGGAATATTAAGGAGGGATAAACAATGCATGCAGAAGAACTTCACAGGACAGACAGAAACATCATGACCCAACTTGAATAACCATTACGTATTTCCATTTAGATGTACTAACCTTTAGATTGTGGCGGTCATGAAATTTTGTCAGCCGGTTATTGTCATGCAAAAGACTGCCGGTCTCACGGTAATTGACCGTTAATTAACATAAATGGTAAGCATCTCCAGGCCTCCATGCATACAAGCCACTGATGCACACCCTTGGAACATCTAAATTTTTTAAAACATCTACAGTCTAATAAATCAGTTTAATATACACCATTACAATAAATCCCTTATTTTTAGGCAGGTCTAAGGAACATTATGATATGAAGAAAACGTATTTCAGAAGAACAGAATATGAGTTGGCCTACTGTCTGTTATCTGACTATGCGCCATGCCATAGGCTGTAGGCTTGTTCATTTAACAGTCCCGTGCAGTGGCGGTCGGTGCCGTTTAAGATGAGGGAGGATGATCGTTTCTTTCTGAGCATGGCCTTATTTCTATTACAGCATATTGGATGACTGTCATTCATATTCCATTGAACCTGCTCAATGTATCATCCATAGGTTTAGGCTACTACATGATACTGTCATTTTCCCTGTACCCATCATGAGGTTGCTACAACCTAGCCTACGAATGAAAGTTTACAACGTAGGTGCACAGGTCGAGAGAATTTGAGTAATCAAGGTGACAGACATTGACACATTCAATACCGCCTTGCACCCTCTTGCCTGCATCTAGCTGATCTAAGGCGTAATCATTAGTCCAACAGTTGCAAACAAGAGTTTCTATTGGACAAATTTAGGTACAGTGAGGGAAAAAAGTATTTGATCCCCTGCTGATTTTGTATGTTTGCCCACTGACAAAGACATGATCAGTCTATAATTTTTAATGGTAGGTTTATTTGAACAGTGAGAGACAGAATAACAACACAAAAATCCAGAAAAATGCATGTCAAAAATGTTATGAATTTATTTGCATTTTAATGAGGGAAATAAGTATTTGACCCCTCTGCAAAACATTGACTTAGTACTTGGTGGCAAAACCCTTGTTGGCTATCACAGAGGTCAGACGTTTCTTGTAGTTAGCCACCAGGTTTGCACACATCTCAGGAGGGATTTTGTTCCACTCCTCTTTGCAGATCTTCTCCAAGTCATTAAGGTTTCGAGGCTGACGTTTGGTAACTCGAACCTTCAGCACCCTCCACAGATTTTCTATGGGATTAAGGTCTGGAGATTGGCTAGGCCACTCCAGGACCTTAATGTGCTTCTTCTTGAGCCACTCCTTTGTCGCCTTGGCCGTGTGTTTTGGGTCATTGTCATGCTGGAATACCCATCCACGACCCATTTTCAATGCCCTGGCTGAGGGAAGGAGGTTCTCACCCAAGATTTGACGGTACATGGCCCCGTCCATCGTTCCTTTGATATGGTGAAGTTGTCCTGTCCCCAAACACGGCGAGTTGAGTTGATGCCAAAGAGCTCGATTTTGGTCTCATCTGACCACAACACTTTCACCCAGTTCTCCTCTGAATCATTCAGATGTTCATTGGCAAACTTCAGACAGCCCTGTATATGTGCTTTCTTGAGCAGGGGGACCTTGCGGGCGCTGCAGGATTTCAGTCCTTCACGGCGTAGTGTGTTACCAATTGTTTTCTTGGTGACTATTTTGTTTTCTTGGTGCTTCTACACCTGCATTACTAGCTGTTTGGGGTTTTAGGCTGGGTTTCTGTACAGCACTTCGAGATATTAGCTGATGTAAGAAGGGCTATATAAAATAAAATTGATTGATTGATTGATTGAGCTGCCTTGAGATCATTGACAAGATCCTCCCGTGTAGTTCTGGGCTGATTCCTCACCATTCTCATGATCATTGCAACTCCATGAGGTGAGATCTTGCATGGAGCCCCAGGCCAAGGGAGACTGACAGGTCTTTTGTCTTTCTTCCATTTGCGAATAATCGCACCAAATGTTGTCACCTACTCACCAAGCTGCTTGGCGATGGTCTTGTAGCCCATTCAAGCCTTGTGTAGGTCTACAATCTTGTCCCTGACATCATTGGATAGCTCTTTGGTCTTGGCCATGGTGGAGAGTTTGGAATCTGATTGATTGATTGCTTCTGTGGACAGGTGTCTTTTATACAGGTAACAAGCTGAGATTAGGAGCACTCCCTTTGAGAGGGTGTCAAATACTTATTTCCCTCATTAAAATGCAAATCAATTTATAACATTTATGTTTATCCCAGTTCCATTCCATTTAAGAAAAAAAAAATTCAACAGAATTGGCACAATGAATAAACCCCTGATCACACTCGAACACAGTTCACTTTCATAGCAGCCACATACAAACAGGTCGTTGTATAATTTATTCTCGCATCTAGCTACACGCTCTCCTCCTCTCACCTTTTCCCTTGGCTTGTGGACTTCAGTGCACAACACATCAGCTGTCTGTGACCAGGCGCCAAACCTTCATATCATGACCGCTAACCGCTACACACAGCCTACATCGTTGTCACGCGTCATAGTCAACATAGCTACTAGAACTAACGCGTTAGTAAACCCGCTACAATGCAGTATAGTGTACAGTCAGCAGCAAGCAGTTTAGCAGTTACACCGGCAGGCCCGTGTGGCAATAAATTAATAAAACCAAAAGCTTACCTTGACTTGGAAGAGTTCCAGTGTTGGACAGCCATAGCCAGCTAGCTAACATAGCATCCCTCTCTGTTTGAGCCGGGTGTTTGAGTAGGCTAAACTAGCTAGCTGCATTAGACTCTAGCTAAGTAAGAGAAGTGAAAAAAGATATTCTACGAAATATAGCTCTCTCGCTATTAATTTAGGAAGAAACTCTCTCTCTTTGAGTCAACTACTCACCACATTTTATGCACTGCAGTGCTAGCTAGCTGTAGCTTATGCTTTCAGTACTAGATCCATTCTCTGATCCTATGATTGGGTGGACAACATGTCAGTTCATGCTGCAAGAGCTCTGATAACTTCTGGAGGACGTCCTCCAACCTGTCATAATTACTGTGTAAGTTTATGGAAGGGGGTGAGAACCATGAGCCTCCTAGGTTTGTATTGAAGTCAATGTACCCAAAGGAGAACAGAAGTTAGCTTTCCTCTGGCTACACCATGGTGCTACCATGCAGAGTGCTACTTAGTCTACTGTAGACATTCATTGCAAAACAGTGTGTTAAAAAAATAAATATGAATATATTTAGTATAGTTTTATCTAAAAAGGATAACATTTTTTAATGTTTCTTTATTTTTATGAAATTCACTGAGGATGGTCCTCCCCTTCCTCATCTTAGGATCCTCCACAGGTCCCATGCAATTATTTTATATTATATGATTTTATAGTAAGAAGAATATAATTGAACATAGCTGAATAAAATAGAAAGGATATTTTTCCCATTCTGGAGTGAGTGAACATATGAAGTGGCTAGGTTGAGCGTAAAAGTTATCATTTGAAACAGGCCTTATACACTAGATTTAGAGTTATCCATATGCACTCGAATAGTGAATGGAGGCCACTTCCTGCTGGTTTGTTTTTCACTCATGCCGCGTAGGCTACTCCGGTTATTTCACTCCACACATCAACCACAGTTTGAGGAGGCTGCTGAGCGACAGGTGATTATCTGCCCAAACTCTGTATGCCATGGGCTCTCCAACCAGGTTCCTGTAGCTACCCAGTGCTTAATTTGGGAAACCAAGTGAAATCTGTTCGGGAACATCAATAGTAACATGTTTTCACAACGAAACATATTTCATTAAAGTGTTGACAACCCCTCTCTCTGCGCATTCGAGAAAGGAATGAAGGAGAGAGGGGAGGAGATGGAAATGCACGGTGATGAGATATTATGTAGCTAAAAGGTAATGTGTCAGCCTTAAATCAGCCGTGCATAATATGCAGTAGGCTATGTATTGTATAACGGCACAATTATTTTAAATATTGTTTTTATTTTTTCGGTATAGGTCTATAGTACAGTACAGGGGCGCTGTTTTGAATAAGCTCTAATATGCATATGGCTGTTTTGAATTAATCATCACCTTAGAAAGTGCTGTCCATTTCGTTGTGTGAAGGTGTCAGCATGCTTCAGTTCGGCTGGCGGCTAGCCGAAGTCAGCTAGGCGAACGAGTGTGCTCGCATACTCCCTTAACAGACATTCGCTTGAAAAAGGAGAAAAAAAACAGAAATAGTACTGTTTGTCCATTTTGAGATGCCATAGCAGTATACACTTCCTCAAAAGTCAGAATTAATCTAAGATAACGCAAGAAATCTGTCATTCATTTTGACGTTTTTGTCAAAGAGATCTTAGTCGCGCAATTTTACATCTAACTAAGATGTTTTATTTAGAAATACTGCACCAAACAATGTGCATGAAAACAAGTCGTCTCTCATTGAATGACAAGAAGAACTTTACTAAAGAAACCTTACTGTTGACCAATCACCGACGAAGCGGCATAGACTTGCCTCAAGAAAAAATTTGTGCCCGAACTGACAAAACCCTTACCGAAGTCCTAAATGAACAAAAACTTCATAATATATGCACAAACTCTTCAGAACTGTTTTGGCTGGGAAGCATGCGGACACCTTTACAACATCCACTATGATCATGTTTTCCACTCAGTTAGAGGGACAATAGAGCCCTGAGTACCAGGCCATTAGCGACCTGATGATCGTTAGCGAGTTTGGGACTACCAATGCATGTCCAGAGTGCATAAGAGGAGAGATATGACAGGGCCTTTTAGAGAGAGAGAGAGACGTGCAGACAGGCCTCACAGGGAGAAGACTGTGTGTGTGTGTGTGTGTGTGTGTGTGTGTGTGTGTGTGTGTGTGTGTGTGTGTGTGTGTGTGTGTGTGTGTGCGTACGGAGAGAAGCGCCAGAGGAATGCGTGCGTGCGTTCGGCAGATTGCTGTGGATGCCGTGCCGTAGGTGAACAGCATGTTAAATGAGCTCCCTGAATTCCAGAACCCACTGTTCCTTAACACCTACCCAGATCTATCAGCCTCTACAGTACCTCCCTGTCTCTCTCTACCCAGAGATCTATCATCCTCTACAGTACCTCCCTGTCTCTCTCTACCCAGAGATCTATCATCCTCTACAGTACCTCCCTGTCTCTCTCTACCCAGAGATCTATCATCCTCTACAGTACCTCCCTGTCTCTCTCTACCCAGAGCTCTATCATCCTCTACAGTACCTCCCTGTCTCTCTCTACCCAGAGCTCTATCATCCTCTACAGTACCTCCCTGTCTCTCTCTACCCAGTGATCTATCATCCTCTACAGTACCTCCCTGTCTCTCTCTACCCAGAGATCTATCATCCTCTACAGTACCTCCCTGTCTCTCTCTACCCAGAGCTCTATCATCCTCTACAGTACCTCCCTGTCTCTCTCTACCCAGAGCTCTATCATCCTCTACAGTACCTCCCTGTCTCTCTCTACCCAGAGATCTATCATCCTCTACAGTACCTCCCTGTCTCTCTCTACCCAGAGATCTATCATCCTCTACAGTACCTCCCTGTCTCTCTCTACCCAGAGATCTATCATCCTCTACAGTACCTCCCTGTCTCTCTCTACCCAGAGATCTATCATCCTCTACAGTACCTCCCTGTCTCTCTCCTCTCCATGGTCCTCTTTTCTCTCTTCCAACTCCTCTCCTATCTTACCTCTCCACCGCTCCCCTCTCATCTCTTTCTCCTCTTGCACTTCTCTCTCCTCCACGTCTTCACTCTGTTCTCCCTAAGCCCCTCCACCATCAATGTACGGCTAAATACTCCGCTGAACCATGCACAACGCGGACTTTAACACACACATCACAGTGGTCAGATCACTTCAACAAAATGGATACTCCACATTTTTCAAAGACATCCACCCACAGAAAGATCCTCATGCCTTGATACAGTGCCTTCAGAAAGGATTCACACACCTTGACTTCTTCCACATTTTGCTGTATTACAGCCTGAATTTTAAATGTATTAAATTTAGATTGTTTGGTCACTGGCCTACACACAATACCCCATAATGTCAAAGTGGAATAATGTTTTTTGAAAATCTTACAAATTAATGAAAGGCTGAAATGTATTCAACCCCTTTATTATGGCAAGCCTAAATTAGTTTAGGAGTAAAAATGTGCTTAACAAGTCACATAATAAATTGCATGGATTCACTCTGTGTGCAATAATAGTGTTTACCATTATTTTTTTATGACTACCTCATCTTTGTACCCCACACATACAATTATCTATAAGGTCCCTCAGTCGAGCAGTGATTTTCAAACAGATTCAACCACAAAGACCAGGGAGGTTTTTCAATGCCCTCGCAAAGAAGGGCACCTATTGGTAGATGGGTTAAAAGAAAAGCAGACATCGAATATCCCTTTGAGCATGGTGCAGTTATTACACTTTGGATGGTGTATCAATACACCCAGTCACTAAAACAGTTACAGAGTTTAATGGCTGTGCTAGGTGAAAACTGAAGATGGATCAACAACATTGTAGTTACTCCACAATACTAATCTCCTAATTGACAGAGTGAAAAGAAGGAAGCCTGTACAGAGTAAAAATATTCCAAACTGACCAACTATTTTATTAAAGGGCTTTCACATTCTAACAGCAAAAATGGCATTGGGCGAGCCATTGTTTTCCAATGAAGGGAAGCCGATGCACCTACCTAGGCAGCATGCACTGCGCAATTTTTTGGGGTGGTGCTGCTATGCTCAAATGATTTGATTCCTACACACAACCTCAAGGCGAGCAGAGGGCTTTGCCGGCACAAAACAGGACTGTTAAACAGGACTTATGATAATGACGGATGCATGACAACTAACTGCAACAGAGAGAAACTGCTGTGCCTACCTAAGCAGCATGCACTGTATGGTTTTTGGACTTCACTAATGATTGACAACTGCTTCCTAAGCATGTGTACTTACGGATCAATGGAGATCTTTATGGTCGACATGTTCTTATCTCGCTGTTTGTTGTCGGCCGCGTTGACTGTGGAGTAGAGAAAAACATGTTCAAATGAGAAGCAGTAGACTGCAGGGATTCGATTGGGTTGATGGAATCTATGGAGAAGATACCTGGGACTGGCATTTTCATCAAGAGCTTTAGACACACTTGAGAATGAATAGCCTAAATGTTGCCTGGCCTATAAAATCCAAAACCACATCCTTTCAGCAAGTCTCTCATACAGAAAACATATTGAAAAGTCGAATTGCCTCAGTCAAGTCTCCTGTGTGTTATACGGTTTGGTTGGCTTGTTTCATTTCAAGCCTTTGCTTCAGTCATAATGTGACGTTATGTGTGACTGACCCTGTTTGAGTTATGTCTAGTAAGTAATTACATAGATGTGGTAGGAACTAGTGAATATTTGGGCAGTGAGGACAGACTGCTGTCATGACCTTTTCACCACTATAAAACAGCTAAATGAACACAGAGTGTGGAGCAAAAAACTCAATGTCTTCTCATGTCTCCTTTCATTGCATATTACAGATTTCCAGTAGTTTGATCGCTCAAGGTAGTGCCTGGTATAAACATACTGTTACAGGACAGGGGTATTCATCTTTTCATCAATGCAGAACCCTAACATTTTCCGGTACAATAATTGGTTGTACACCATGTTAATGTGCCAGTCAGCCAAACACATAAGCGAGACTAGCGCTGGATTCTACTGCAACTGGTCAACTGACATAGAAAAGTCTGCCTAAAATAGAATCTACCTCAAACAATTGAAATCTTTATGTTCTCTTACATTTACATTTTAGTCAATTAGCAGCCGCTCTTATCCAGAGAGACTTACAGGAGAAATTAGGGTTAAGTGCCTTGCTCAAGGTGATTTCTCACCTAGTCTGCTCGGGGACTCGATCCAGCGACCTTTCGGCTAACTATTAGGCTACCTGCTACTTCTTGAGGGAATGTCCATCAGAGGCCATCACAGTAATAACTGGGCCTGATATAATAACTGAGTAATAACATTTAGCCTAACAACAATGAGCTGAGGGCTATGGCTCGTTCATAATGACAACCTTGTTACCTGTGTGTGTCCTGCTTTAAAAGACCCTGATAGACTTACCAAGAATTTCATCAAAGATTTTGTATAATCCAGGGACGTAGGTGATTTCTCGTAGATTCATCCCAAGGTCTTCATCGAAAACCCACATTTGCTGAAATAGATACGTTTATTGATCAACCATTCATAATATTTGACTACGCATCAACAACAAAGAGCAACACCAGATTTCTCTGTTAGATCTAGCTACAGAACTGGATGTTGTTGTGACTAACGTTGTGTAGAACAGGGGTTCCCAAACTTTTCCACTCGGGACCCCCCTTCCAGCAAGTGGAACGTCTATTTCTATGGGCACAAGCACTGTTCATGACACAAACTGTTCACACCCCTCTTGTCGGTGGAGAGAATTTTGCAGGTTTAAAACTTACTCCCTGCAATACTAGACATTTTGTCATGGGGTGCAAAGAACATTCAGCAGTTTTAGAGCTAATTTACTTGCAATTCTACACATTTTGCCATATCTAATGTGTATTCATGTGATATTTGAGTGACTAAAAAATTACAACAATATCTATGGGCAAAAAAAACCTACATAAAAAAACGTTCGCTGACATGGGCTAGTCTATCTGGACATTCCTAACAAGTTATAAGTAGCTCTCTAAGCTATGCAATGACAAAAACATTTTAAGTTTAAAGTCGAACTGAATTCCTTAAAAAAACGTTGGAAAATGTTTGGGGGGGAGGTGGGGACCACTGGTGTAAAATATGAGTCAAGTTCAGTAGGCACAAAACAAGAGTGAAAAAAATTATAATCACAATTTCGTTTACTGTTGCACCCTCCTGAACACAACCTAGCCGTCTACAGCCATGATGAACCTAACTCACCTGGGTGACAGGAACCTAACTCACCTGGGTGACAGGAACCTAACTCACCTGGGTGACAGGAACCTAACTCACCTGGGTGACAGGAACCTAACTCACCTGGGTGACAGGAACCTAACTCACCTGGGTGACAGGTTCCACAGAGTCATGATGAACCTAACCCACCTGGGTGACAGGAACCTAACTCACCTGGGTGACAGGAACCTAACTCACCTGGGTGACAGGAACCTAACTCACCTGGGTGACAGGTTCCACAGAGTCATGATGAACCTAACTCACCTGGGTGACAGGTTCCACAGAGCCATGATGAACCTAACTCACCTGGGTGACAGGTTCCACAGAGCCATGATGAACCTAACTCACCTGGGTGACAGGTTCCACAGAGCCATGATGAACCTAACTCACCTGGGTGACAGGTTTCCACAGAGCCATGATGAACCTAAACTCACCTGGGTGACAGGTTCCACAGAGCCATGATGAACCTAACTCACCTGGGTGACAGGAACCTAACTCACCTGGGTGACAGGTTCCACAGAGCCATGATGAACCTAACTCACCTGGGTGACAGGTTCCACAGAGCCATGATGAACCTAACTCACCTGGGTGACAGGTTCCACAGAGCCATGATGAACCTAACTCACCTGGGTGACAGGAACCTAACTCACCTGGGTGACAGGAACCTAACTCACCTGGGTGACAGGTTCCACAGAGTCATGATGAACCTAACTCACCTGGGTGACAGGTTCCACAGAGCCATGATGAACCTAACTCACCTGGGTGACAGGTTCCACAGAGCCATGATGAACCTAACTCACCTGGGTGACAGGTTCCACAGAGCCATGATGAACCTAACTCACCTGGGTGACAGGTTCCACAGAGCCATGATGAACCTAACTCACCTGGGTGACAGGAACCTAACTCACCTGGGTGACAGGAACCTAACTCACCTGGGTGACAGGAACCTAACTCACCTGGGTGACAGGTTCCACAGAGCCATGATGAACCTAACTCACCTGGGTGACAGGTTCCACAGAGTCATGATGAACCTAACTCACCTGGGTGACAGGTTCCACAGAGCCATGATGAACCTAACTCACCTGGGTGACAGGTTCCACAGAGCCATGATGAACCTAACTCACCTGGGTGACAGGTTCCACAGAGCCATGATGAACCTAACTCACCTGGGTGACAGGTTCCACAGAGCCATGATGAACCTAACTCACCTGGGTGACAGGTTCCACAGAGCCATGATGAACCTAACTCACCTGGGTGACAGGTTCCACAGAGCCATGATGAACCTAACTCACCTGGGTGACAGGTTCCACAGAGTCATGATGAACCTAACTCACCTGGGTGACAGGTTCCACAGAGCCATGATGAACCTAACTCACCTGGGTGACAGGTTCCACAGAGTCATGATGAACCTAACTCACCTGGGTGACAGGTTCCACAGAGCCATGATGAACCTAACTCACCTGGGTGACAGGTTCCACAGAGCCATGATGAACCTAAACTCACCTGGGTGACAGGTTCCACAGAGCCATGATGAACCTAACTCACCTGGGTGACAGGTTCCACAGAGCCATGATGAACCTAACTCACCTGGGTGACAGGTTCCACAGAGCCATGATGAACCTAACTCACCTGGGTGACAGGTTCCACAGAGCCCATGATGAACCTAACTCACCTGGGTGACAGGTTTCCACAGAGTCATGATGAACCTAACTCACCTGGGTGACAGGTTCCACAGAGCCATGATGAACCTAACTCACCTGGGTGACAGGTTCCACAGAGCCATGATGAACCTAACTCACCTGGGTGACAGGTTCCAAGAGTCATGATGAACCTAACTCACCTGGGTGACAGGTTCCACAGAGTCATGATGAACCTAACTCACCTGGGTGACAGGTTCCACAGAGCCATGATGAACCTAACTCACCTGGGTGACAGGTTCCACAGAGCCATGATGAACCTAACTCACCTGGGTGACAGGTTCCACAGAGTCATGATGAACCTAACTCACCTGGGTGACAGGTTCCACAGAGTCATGATGAACCTAACTCACCTGGGTGACAGGTTCCACAGAGTCATGATGAACCTAACTCACCTGGGTGACAGGTTCCACAGAGCCATGATGAACCTAACTCACCTGGGTGACAGGTTCCACAGAGTCATGATGAACCTAACTCACCTGGGTGACAGGTTCCACAGAGTCATGATGAACCTAACTCACCTGGGTGACAGGTTCCACAGAGCCGATGTAGGTGTCTGGCCTCAGCAGGATGTGCTCCAGCTGGGTCTTCTTCTGGTACACCCTCTCCACTGACATCTTCTCTCCTCCCTTCTTCTTGGCTCCTCCACCTCCTCCCTCGGGCTTGCCCCCATCGCCCCTGCCGTTCGCAGCCGCAGCCGCCGCTGCCTCCTCCTCCCTCTTTTTGGCAGCATTCTTCTTATCAAAGAGGGTCTGGTATTAGACACATGTGCACAACTTAGTTAAAAATTACACTAGAGATAAATTGAACTCTGTGTCTGCAGGCACTGGCAGCTGATTATCAGAACTAAGGCACAGCAGTCGCCGTTTTGTTTGACTTCGATTGTTTGGATAGTCCGTCTAAGTCACGTGTCAAACTCATTCCACGGAGGGCCAAGTGTCTGCAGGTTTTCGCTCCACCCTTGTACATGATTGATGAATTAAGGTCACTAATTAGTAAGGAACTCCCCTCACCTGGTTGTCTAGGTCTTAACAGAAAGAAAAAACTAAAACCCGCAGACACTCAGCCCTCCATTGAGTTTTACACCCCTGGTCTAAGTCCTACTAGTCCAGTGTAGCCTCCAATTTTTCAGTCAATGCTCCTTTACGCTTTGGTTGTTTGGTTGATTAGTGGGTTGGTTGGAACTTGGAAGGTTTATTTGGTTAGGCTAGTTGCCCGGCACACACGCCCACAGTAGACACCATTGGTTAATGTGCACCCAAGGAGAAGCAAAAAAGTGGCTGAGCCTGAGGAGCAAACTTTATCAAATAAAAATGTAAATGTTGCAAGCTTGGGGAAATCTAAACGGTATTGGTGTGGCAATGTATGTATACAATTGATCCAGAGGCTTTGAGCATGCAATAGGCTTATATAAACTGAGCAAATCATCTACTCTGCAATAACAAAAACAGTGGTTGAGTATAATGCAGTCCCTGTCACCTGTGGCCCTTGAGACCCGTTTACATTTCTCTATGGGGAGGTATCTGAGCAACAGACCCTCACAATGCTCATCAGCCTATTAGTAACAAACAGGGGACTCAAAAACAGTTCACTCCATATGGTCTACGGTTTACACAGCAAGTCATAATCATGATGATCAAGCCAAAGCAGCCATTTAGCTCATGACAGTCCACCACTCTGGGATATTTGCTTTAATAAGATATGTACAAAAAAGTAATCTTGAGATTATTATATATATTAGGTCTGCTAAGAACCTAATCTTGGTTGCTCAAACACACTGAAAGAATCCTGCATAATGTCGTTATCGCATCCCTGCATGCATCTACCTGACAGACAGCTGCTCTATTGTCTATCTGCTGACAGTGGCACGCAAATTGACCTGTGTGAAACTAGCCACAATAAGGATTCACCATGATTGTGGAATTTGCACTTCACCTTCAAAATAAAAGTCCCCCATTGAAAGTGATTAAAACGGATACAAGGTGGAATCATGCCATATTTGCACTAGATAACGCTAAACAAGGTCAAATGTTGTTCTAAATTCAACAAAAGACAATAATTAGTTAATTTGACAAAAATAAAATCTATTGAAATCGTGTGGATGAATTATGAAAAAGTATGAGAAAAAAATGTATGCACTCACTTAACTGTAAGTCGCTCTGGATAAGAGCGTCTGCTAAATGACTAAAATGTAAATGTAATTACACTTTAGAATTGCATTGGGGGGGGCATACTTATATGCACTCCACAAAATAAAATACAATTTGTCACATGCGCCAAATACAACAAGTGAAGACTTTATCGTGAAATGCTTACTTACGAGCCCTTTCCCAACAACGCAGTTAAAAAGCAAGAAAATTAGCAAATAAATAAAAATTTAAATTGTAACAATAAAATATAAATAACAAGTCTATATACAGGCAATATACAAGGAGTACCGGTACCAAGTCAGTGTACTGGGGTACGAGGTAGTTGGGGTGATTGAAGTAATATGTACATGTAGTTTTGGTTAGGTGATTGATAGAAGTACTTTGTAGGTAGGGGTGAAAAGCAGAAAGTCCGGGTAGCCAGTTGATGAACTAACTGTTCAGCAGTCTTATGGCTTTGGGATAGAAGCTGTTCAGGAGCCTTTTCGTCAAAGACGGTGCTCTGGTACCGCTTGCCGTGCGGTAGCAGAAAGAACAGACTGTGACTTGGGTGGCTGGAGTCTGACAATTTTTAGGGCCTTCCTCTGACACCACCTGGTATAGAGGTCCTGGATGACAGGGAACTCTGCTCCAGTGATATACTGGGCCATACGCACTTCCCTCTGTAGCGCCTTGCGGTCGGATGCCAAGCAGTTGCCATACCAATCGGTGATGCAGCCAGTCAAGATGCTCTCAATGGTGCAGCTGTAGAACTTTCTGAGGATCTGAGGGCCCATGCTAAATATTTTCAGCCTTCTGAAAGGGAAGAGGCATTGTCGTGCCCGCTTCACGACTATGTTGGTGTGTTTGGACCATGATAGGTCCTTAGTGATGTGGACACCGAGGAACTTGAAGCTTTCGACCGTCTCCACTACAGCCCCGTCGATGGGAATGGGGGCGTGCTCGGCCCTCCGTTTCCTGTAGTCCACGATCAGCTCCTTTGTCTTGCTGACGTTGAGGGAGAGGTTGTTGTCCTAGCACCACACTGCCAGGTCTCCGACCTCCTCCCTATAGGCTGTCTCATTGTCGTCGTATATCAGGCCTACCACCGTCGTGTCGTCAGCAACCTTAATGATGGTGTGCTGCCACACAGTTGTGGGTGAACAGGGAGTACAGGAGGGGGCTAAGCACGCCCCCGTGTTGAGGGTCAGCGTGGCGGATGTGTTTTTGCCTACCCTCACCACCTGGGGGCGGCCCGTCAGAAAGTCCAGTATCCAATTGCAGAGGGAGGCGTTTAATCCCAGGGTCTTTAGTTTAGTGATGAGCTTGGAGGGCACTATGGTGTTGAACGCTGAGCTGTAGTCAATGAACAGCATTCTCACGTAGGTGTTCATTTTGTCCAGATAGGAAAGGGCAGTGTGGAGTGCAATAGAGATTGCGTCATCTGTGGATCTGTTGGGGCGGTATGTGAATTGAAGTGGGTCCAGGGTGTCTGGGATGATGGTGTTGATGTGAGCCATGACCAGCCTTTCAAAGCATTTCATGGCTACAGATGTGAGTGCTACAGGGCGTTAGTCATTTAGACAGGTTACCTTGGTGTTCTTGGGCATGGGGACTATGGTGGTCTGTTTGAAACATATGGGTATTACAGACTGGGTCAGGGAGAGGTTGAAAATGTCAGTGAAGACACTTGCCAGCTGGTCAGCGCATGCTCTGAGTAGGCGTCCTGGTAATCCGTCTGTCCCTGCGGCCATCACACAGTCGTCCGAAACAGCTGGTGCTCTCATGCATGGTTCAGTGTTGCTTCGCCTCAAAGCAAGCATAGAAGGAATTTAGCTCATCTGGTAGGCTTGCGCCACTAGCAGCTCACAGCTGGGTTTCCCTTTGTAATCCGTGAAAGTTTGCAAGCATTGCCACATTCAACGAGCGTCAGAAGCCGTAGCGGGATTTTGTATAAGCTTCTGGATTTGTGTGCTGCTCCTTGAAATCAGTGCCGAGGTTGCCTTTAATCCATGGATTTTGGATAGGGTATGTACGTACGGTCACTGTGGGGACAACGTTGTCGATGCACTTATTAATGAAGCCGGAGACTGATGTGGTAAACTCCTCAATGCCATCGGATGAATCCCAGAACATATTCCAATCTATGCTAGCAAAACAGCCCTGTAGCTTAGCGTCCACTTCATTGGACCAGTTCCGTATTGAGCGCATCACTAGTACTTCCTGTTCCTGTACAGCCTAACCTATGACCCCACAATATTAGAAACAGGTCAATTTGACCCTCCCCAATAATAAACCATGATGATCTTGATGAATTGGAAATTATTTTCCCACCTTAGTTACTGGCCTTCTGTGGCTTTAAACTACACAGTACTACTCAATTCCTCATATTATGATTGGATCCCCCCCCACCGCCAATTATGCTTGGTTTGGCCCGGTCGTCAGAGGCTGTGGTTTGTGAAGGGAAAAAAGTTGCACAATAGCACCTCTCTTTCTCTCCGTTCTCTTCTTAACAAAACACTTAATTCTCTGAGCTAACTTGTAACAAATAAAGAAGTACAATCATATTTAACATGGTAAATTCATAAGCATAATATGGAGAAGGTTTCTATTGCAAAGTGACGGGCCTAAAAAACAAGTTATTATTGGTCACGGTTAAATTGGGCTCAATTTTGTGAGTTCAAAGGCAACTTTGGTAGTATTATAAACTTTGAAACAATTGGTTTCTAGTAAACTACATAATTACAGAAGGGCTGTTTCTCTGAACCTCAGGCAGTAGGCTCAAGCAAGTCTGTCTCTCTCCCCAGTCAGAGGCAGCCTGCCTGTCTCACAGACTCTGACCAGCAGCAGCAACCTTTCCTCATTATGAAAGGGGGCCATGACTGAAATAGTTTGGGAAGCACTGATCTAGCTAATGATTAGCACAAATACAGATGGGCAACCCCATGCTTCAGCCTATTTAGTTATAGCCACTATGCTGCATCAGTTGGGCTACAGGTGATAATTGCTTATTGCTAAATAACACACCAGCCTGATATTATGGACCAATATGTTGTTAGGCTCATTTTTGGAGGGACATTCTTATTTTAATGTTGTCACCAGGGCTGCATTCAGGCCCATAAAACGTAATGCAACGTTCAATTAAACGGTTGGACAGTTCTGAAATGGATCCGTGGCTTTCCCACCCGACCCGATATGCATAATTACATTTTAAAAATTAACAGAGACCTAATATTTGTGTAAACTCTACACAGTTGTGTTCTGTGAGTGTCACTGAGAAGGCCGATACCCCATTCCATGGGTGCAACATCCCTAGGTTATGCTGTACAGTGCAACATGAATGTCTAATACACACAATAGACTGACTGGAAAGCTGATTTCCCACAATCAAAGTCCTGCAATATGACTAGAGCTAAGAAGCTAATATTTGAGTGAACTCTATGCAGTTGTGTTCTGTGAGTATCACTGAGCAAGTAGGCTGATACCCCATTTGATGCGTGCAACATCCATAGGTTAGGCTCTACAGTACATACAGTGTATTGCAAAAGTATTCAACCCCCTTGGCGGTTTTCCTATTTTGTTGCATTACAACCTGTAATTTAAATTGATTTTTATTTGGAGTTTCAAAAAATTCAAAAAAATTAATAACGGAAAAGTGGTGCGTGCATATGTAAAAAAATAAGCAAACACGTTTGGTGTTTGCATGTGGGAGACTCCCTAAACATGTGGAAGAAGGTACTCTGGTCAGATGAGACTAAAATTGAGCTTTTTGGCCATCAAGGAAAATGCTATGTCTGGCGCAAACCCAAAACCTCTCATCACCCCGAGAACAACATCCCCACAGTGAAGCATGGTGGTGGCAGCATCAACTGTGGGGATGTTTTTCATCGGCAGGGACAGGGAAACTGGTCAGAAATTAAGGGTTTTATTTTTTTTCACCTTTATTTAACCAGGTAAGCCAGTTGAGAACAAGTTCTCATTTACAACTGCAACCTGGCCAGGATAAAGCAAAGCAGTGTGATAAAAACAACAGAGTTACATATGGGATAAACAAAATGTACAGTCAAAAACACAATAGAAAATGATGGATGGCGCTAAATACAGGGAAATTCTTGAGGGAAATCTGTTTCAGTCTTCCAGAGATTTGAGACTGGGACAGAGGTTCACCTTCCAGCAGGACAATGACCCTAAGCATACTGCTAAAGCAACACGAGTGGTTTAAGGGGAAACATTTAAATGCCTTGGAATGGCTTAGTCAAAGCCCAGACCTCAATCCAATTGAGAATCTGTAGTATGACTTTACACCAGCGGAACCCATCCAACTTGAAGGAGCTGTAGCAGTTTTGCCTTGAAGAATGGCCAAAAATCCCAGTGGCTAGATGTGCCAAGCTTATAGAGACATACCCCAAGACACTTGCAGCTGTAATTGCTGCAAACGGAGGCTCTACAAAGTATTGCCTTTGGAGGGGGGGTGAATAGAAATGCACGCTCAAGTTCTGTTTTTTGTCTTATTTCTTGTTTGTTTCACAATAAAACATATTTTTCATCTTCAAAGTGGTAGGCATGCTGTGTAAATAAAATGATACAAACCCCCAAAAAATCAATTTAAATTCCAGGTGGTAAGGCAACAAAATAGGAAAAATGCCAAGGGGGGTGAATACTTTCGCAAGCCACATATGCCCCCGATGCAATTCTAAAGTCTAATACATCCGCAGTTCGCTTTCAACTGATTTTTGTCAAATTAACTAAATTGTCTTTTGTTTAGTATTACCTAGTCCAAATATGTCACGATTACACTATTTGTATCCGTTTGAATCACTTTCAAATGGGGGACTTTTATTTAGAAGGAGAACCGCAAATTCCACTATTGTGGATAATCCTTATGTGGCTAGCTTTACACAGGTCCCAAATTGTGCTGCTGTATCTACGGGCTGGCCGCTGCTATAGCTAGCTGGCCAAATGTCTTGCAAATACATATGTCGCATACATTTTTTTTTATAGATTAGGCTACCTACGAATAACGGTATTTGAGACACATTCAAGATTCTATATTCAAACGGCGTGCATGTAAAATATGCAAACTGACTATCAATCCCACTTGACGTGCATTGCAACAAAGAACTTATTGGGGCAATGCCATTGGCCAAGTGGCTCATTAACCGGTGTCTTACAGGAAAGCAATGTTGCCGAATTACATGATAAAAGAAAACAATGTATCTAACGTTGGTGGACTAATCTGTGATTGTATGTGCAGGGCAATCGTAGCTAAATTAATATCCCAAATGATGGCCCATCTTGAATAGGTGCATGCTAGTTTAAAGGAATGTATTAGCTGCTGGCTAGTTAGCATCATCTCTGGCCATTTTAAAATATCCAGCTCTTGACAAACTGGGGAATTTCTCTCGTGCATCCTGGCAAAATGATCAACGCTAGCTGAAGCGATAAAGCAAACCTTTCCAGTAATGCAACATTATAACAAAATAGTAACTTACCACCCAAGTCAGACCCCCACTTCCTGCTGCGCCGTTTGACATCTTCCTTTTGTTTCCCTAAATGTAAGTGATGCTACTAGCAGATAAAATACTGAAAAGTCCTGCATACAATATAGTCCATAAACTCAATAATTATTTCGGTTAACGGACCCCATTGCGTTATTTTCTGTGTCAGTACAAGTTAAAAATGTCTGTCAAAATAGTTCAAGATGGGGGAGTGTATCGCGGCTATTGTTAAAATCGACAAGCGGTGGTTAGAACTAGGCCTGAAATCTTCAACAAAGCTTGCGTGCTACTTGCCGAGGTGTAGAAATTACTGTACAAAATCCAAACGTTAAATAGTTTCACAACATTTTATGTAGTACAAAATAAATTGGAGTTAAAATACGGCTGTAAATCAATACCAAAATGTTCATTCACAAATAATAACACCGCCGCCTGCCTCCGTCCGGCTCCACCATCCGCACGGCGACAATCCCCCACAGCGGAAACCACCAATCCGGTGCTCGCTTTTCGAGGCGCCGGTACTTCAGCCAATGAAAGAAAGACATGCCCCACGATGTACTTGCAATTTGTAACCAGTAGGTGGTAGAACAAACACACCGACCGCATTACTTTTTCTTACTGTAGTCCAGTCTGCGTAAAACCCCAAATAGTACTTTATTATACCGATTGCACAATTGACATATTTGTACAAGGACACATTAACTCCTTTAATATCTGGATTTCTGCAAGGTAATTGTAGTTAAAATATTTGAACACAGGTCTTCATCATGCATTCACCATAAATACATATAGAATACCAGTATATCCATAACCATAAGTGGATACATGCATAAAAACCTATCAATAGTTACATGGCTTTCTGGTGTCCATTCAACATTACATACAACAATTACACATACATTGTATTGCCTTCTTCAAAAGACAAGTGGAAAATCCATATCAGATGGACTTTAGGCTCACAAGTCATATATTCCTATTCTGTGTCCAGGAGCCTGAACCTTGTTATGCAGGGGGTTGCAGCCAGGCCATATTGATCCATCATCCCCTTTGAGGTGGAAAGCCATGTTGGACACCATATGCTTGCAAGGGGTCCAAGAGGATTAAGTCAAGTAAGTTACTCCTCATTGGGCAGAGACAGTCTAGATAACAGAGGCTTTTGTGTCATACAGAAGCTGGGTCTTGCTACATTACTGGCAGTAAATATCCAAGTAGCATCATTACAAGACATGTAATCAATATAAGATTATTGATTGAAGACACACAGATCCCAAAGGATTATTGAACTACCTGACCGACCATCCATCCATCCATTCTGTACCCACAACCAACATCACCAAACTACTACCCCTCCGTTTGTCTCATAAGCACCAAGACGCATATGAATATACAATACATGACTATTCACAGAGTCTGTGTATTCAAGGTGATCATCTTGAGTACGTGTCAATCTCATTCCGCGGAGGGCCGAGTGTCTGCAGGTTTTCACTCCTCCCTTGTACTTGATTGATGAATTAAGGTCACTAATTAGTAAGGAACTCCCCTCACCTGGTTGTCTAAATCTTAATTGAAAGACAAAAACAAAAACCAGCAGACACTTGGCCCTCCATGGAATGAGATTGACACCCCTGATCTTGAGCAAGGCACTGAGCAGAATCACTGATCTATACATCATGTTGCATCCCAAAATAACTACTCATTACGTGATGAAGATTAGCGAACCAACATAGCAGCGCCTTGCTCAGCGCGATCGCCATCGAATGCACAGTGTCTCCATCATCAAGCGTCCTCCTCTTCCATCTCAACGAGGATTTCCAACGAGGATTCCTCAAGCTCATTCAAACTCCGCCGGAACAGCTGGGAGTGTTGCCATGACGACTCTCCCTCTCCTCCAGCTAGCTCCGCCTCCACGACCAACTCAGAGGATCCAGAAAGACCCGCAACCAAATGCATCTCCCCGTCTGTGTTCAAAAACATGACAAAACATTTAGCCATTGTTATGCAGGATAAGGAAGAAAAAATATATAATTTAAGTGCACATGCAAATCAATGTCGTTCACTGTCACACCTGATTATCAAATCATAATATATCCGTTTTACATTTACAAATCACTAAGTACCAGTATACAATTAGCACTTTAAGTCGATTTGAAAAAAGGCTTCCAACTTAATCCTGAAAGGGATGGGTCACACAAACCAGACAAAAATCTATCTGACAAAAATCTATCAATCATCCATCAACCTCCTGAGAACTCTGTGGTGTTCTGTCCAGACTGCAGACTCCAGCGGACGGTTCCAGAGTGAAAGGTCTGGCTGCATGCTCTGACTGAGACAGTCTTTATCTTCATTCTTACAGGAGCACAGTCCAACTTCCAACTGATGTTCCCTGACGATGAGCCCTCTGTACGAGCTAGATACACCTGACAGGGCATAGAGCGCATTTACTGACAGGAAAAATACAGCATAAATATGGAAACATTTACAGTTGAGATACACACATCCTATAGAAGCAACATATCCAAAGGTTGGATATATTGATAAAGGCAACTTCTTTATTATTGGTTCTGCAAAATAGTCATGCCCTTGAATTAACGATCACAAAGACTGACCAATAGAAAAATGACAGAAAAGCAACAAAGTATCCCATTGATGTGTCAATACAAGAACTGCATTGAATCAATAAGAGCGTTGCATCTTGTCGTTTATGACATATCATGGATGAAAACTAACCATCTGCCAGTCATTCTCCAGCTTCCTGAGGACAGACTCTTTCCTCCACACAGTCTTGTCCCAGCCCTGAATGTCCTCACTGTCATTGGACACCCTGCAGTAGTGATCCTTGGTGGAGTTGTACCGCAGATGGAATACTCTCCCACTTTTCTCCTTCTCAGTCGGAACAAACACAAACTCTGCTGCAGCAGCCTGGGGGGGGGGAGAGAGAAACACAAACACATTCATTTAAAAGAGCTGTTGCCCCCACTGGTCCCCAAATTCCAAGACAAGTGTTCCTATCCGACTCAAAGGACCATTAAAGTTAATAATAATAATAATAATAATTTAGCAGACACTTTTATCCAAAGCGATTACAGTCAAAGCGACTACAGTCATGCATGCATACATTTTTCATATCAGTGGTCCCAGTGGGTCCACAAACATGCAAGGAAGTAACCAGTTGTTTGACTCAGTAACACAGCTGTATATCTCACTGATGGGGTAGTCCCTAGTCCTGTCTCCCCACGGGCAGCCTTCCAGGCCAGGGAGCCAGAGTTGCGTCCCCCCAGATCACCCTGTTTGGGTGTCTTAGGAGATATAAACTCCACCAGCTCCACTAGAAGCATCTCTAACAGCTCCTTCTTCCTCTCAGAGCTCAGGGACTGCTGCCTCTGGAAATGAATACAGGAAAGTAATGGGTGACTGAGCGCTACCCTCTACAGATTAAAACACAGGAATGTTATCAGGCTCTGGGTAGTGTGACTGCTACCAGAACAGCATGGGTGAGGGGCTGCATAATCTCCTGAGCTGACTGGCAAATTCAGGGCCATTAAGCCTAAAAAAAATCTAGTTTAAAAAATACATTTAATAAGCCTCCTTTTGAATTAAATTGCTTGTAGGTTTACAATCTACCGCACCAAATGAGAGGTGTCTCTACACAAATTGCATATCATACAGTACCAGTCAAAGGTTTGGACACACCTACTCATTCAAGGGTTTTCTTTCTTTATTTTTACTATTTTCTACATTGTAGAATAATAGTCAAGACATCAAAACTATGAAATAACACATATGGAATCATGTACTAACCAAAAACGTGTTAAATTTTTTTTATATTTGAGATTCTTCAAAGTAGCCACCCTTTGCCTCGATGACAGCTTTGCACACTCTTGCCATTCTCTCAGCCAGCTTCATGAGGTAGTCACCAGAAATGCATTTCAATTAACAGGTGTGCTTCTTAAAAGACATTTGTGGAATTTCTTTCCTTTTTTTATGCGTTTGAGCCAATTAGTTGTGTTGTGACAAGGTGTGGGGGGGGGGGGGGTATACAGAAGATAGCCCTATTTGGTAAAAGATCAAGTCCATATTTTGGCAAGAACACCTCAAATAAGCAAAGAGAAACGACAGTCCATCATTACTTTAAAGACATGAAGGTTATTAAATCCGGAAAATTTCAAGAACTTTTAAAGTTTCTTCAAGTGCAGTTGCAAAAACCATCAAGCGCTATGATGAAACTGGCTCTCATGAGGACCGCACTACGTTCATCCACCTCTGGCCTGTTAGCCCCCCTACCTCTACGGAAGCGCAGTTCCCGCTCAGCCCAGTCAAAGCTATTCGCTGCTCTGGCACCCCAATGGTGGAACAAGCTCCCCCACGACGCCAGGACAGCGGAGTCACTGACCACCTTCCGGAGACACTTGAAACCCTACCTCTTTAAGGAATACCTGGAATAGTATAACAGTAATCCTTCTACCCCCCCTCCCCCACACACCCATAAAAAAAAGGGTGGTTGTCCCACTGGCTATCCTAAGTTGAATGCACCAATTTGTAAGTCGCTAAATTACTTAAATGTAAATGATAAGTTCATTAGAGTAACTACACCTCTGATTGCAGCCCAAATAAATGCTTCACAGAGTTCAAGTAACAGACACATCTCAACATCAACTGTTCAGAGGAAACTGCGTGAAATCAGGCCTTCATGGTTGAATTGCTGCAAAGAAACCACTACTAAAGTTCACCATTAAGAAGAAGAGACTTGCTTGGGCCAAGAAACACGAGCAATGGACATTAGACCGGTGGAAATCTGTCCAAATTGAAGATTTTTGGTTCCAACCGCCATGTCCTTGTGAGACGCAGAGTAGGTGAACGGATGATCTCCGCATGTGTGGTTCCCACCGTGTAGCATGGAGGAGGTGGTGTGATGGTGCTTTGCTGGTGACACTGTCTGTGATTTATTTAGAATTCAAGGCACACTTAACCAGCATGGCTACCACAGCATTCTGCAGCGATACGCCATCCCATCTGGTTTGCGCTTAGTGGGACTATCATTTGTTTTTCAACAGGACAATGACCCAAAACACACTTCCAGGCTGTGTAAGGGCTATTTGGCCAATAAGGAGAGTGATGGAGTGATGCATCAGATGACCTGGCCTCCACAATCACCTGACCTCAACCCAATTGAGATGGTTTGGGATGAGTTGGACCGCAGAGTTTAGGAAAAGCAGCCAGCAAGTGCTCAGCATATGTGGGAACTCCTTCAAGACTGTTAGAAAAGCATTCCAGGTGAATCTGGTTGAGAGAATGCCAAGAGTGTGCAAAGCTGTCATCAAGGCAAAGGGTGGCTACTTTGAAGAATCTAAAATATATTTTGATTTGTTTAACACTTTTTTGGTAACTACATGATTCCATATACGTTATTTCATAGTTTTGATGTCTTCACTATTATTCCCTCCCTCCTCCCTTTCCTCAATTACGGGCCTTTTCATGTGCCTCAGAACCACAGGCAAATCATAATTAAGGCTGAAACTGTCTATTATGATTGGATTTTTTTACTAGACAGGCGTAATTACAACCAAAATGGTTGACTTAAAATAAAAAAACAATGAGTTTAAACGGCCAATCAAGCGCTTTAACTGAGAAAAAATAACACACATTTATAATCATCTGATTAACATCCATGTAACCGAAAAAGCACTTCTCATGGCCGTCACGTATAGGCTACAGACCCTCAGGAATCTCTAGAGCTGGTCGGAAAAGCAGTTCCAATCTGACCCCAAAGAGTCAAGAGTATGAGCTCCCTCTTCTCAAGCTGTTCCAACGGAAGTAGAGGGCCAATCCCTGGCTGAATCCCCCATCATAGACAGAGACAGTGTGTGGAGAGACCATGTCAGACTCTCTGCCCTCTCTCCAACCCCTCATACTAAAAATAAATAAAAACCCTTGAATAAGTAGGTGTGTCCAAACTTTGGACTGGTACTGTATATGCTCATAACAAGTGAAGCATTATACCTGTTTACACATATGTAGACACTGGTTTGGTGCTGAATATATGAGGTTAAAAAGTGGTGGAATTCTGAGGTGAACCTACCACAGCATTGAGCCCGTTGATGGTGTGTAGCAGCCAGGGCTCCTGGACCTTGGTCCGTCTGGACAGGACCTCTGGGTGCTTACAGGAATACCTCCAGGTCACATCCACCACCTGCAGCACAACACACTCCTAACATCCTGAAAACTCTACAAGCCACAGCTAGAGACTTATTGACTCATTTGATTCTGAAGTGTGTATAATCAAGCTAAGCACGCGTGAAGAGATTAGGTCAAGCATCTCTTCATACGTTAACAGATTGGGCCTAAGTGAATGCTCACTATTGCTTTGTGTTTAGCCACAAGTGGTAGCAGTGGTCAAGATGGTTGAACAAGGCATTTTCAGTGGGAAACGCCAACTACTCTCTCTGGCACCTACAAAGTCTACATTCTGTGTGAGACCGAGTGTGTTCCTCACCTGGTCCTTGGAGAAAGCCAGAACGTAGGCTAGTTTCTTGCCCCAGCCGATCTCATAGAGCAAAGGTTTGTCACAGGCGTTCTCACAGGAGTCACAGTGCAGCCAGCGGTGCTGAGAGGCAGAGTACACCTCTGTCCACACGTGGTCTGGGACAGGACAAGGTACAGGCAAACATATTAATGACATATCTGCCATACAGTATTTGCGGAGATGCACAGTTATGGTCAGTTAGAAATAGTTGAGAATAGAATAGGATAAACAGCCATGGAGCAAATTCCTGCATGTCGTCAATAAACCTCTCCAGAGATAAGTGCAGAGAATGGGAAAGCGGTCATACTTTAACACAGAACAACAGGAACATGTTGAGAGAACCCCTCCTGAACCGGTCTTAATTAGTAGAGCCTCCAGTAACAGTATCTGTGCTTTAACATGAATGAATAGAGTGTTACAGTACCTGTGCTGTCCCAGATATACCTGGCCTCCAGGCCCAGGGCTCTGCAGCACAGGGTGAAACAGTTGGCCCACTCCCCACAGCGCCCTCTCCTGGTCTCCAGCAGCTTCTCAGGGTTGTTGTACCTGCATACAGAGGAGAGTGATGTCTTAATATGTCCCTTAGCATATATTTTTATCCAATGTGACTTACAGTAGTGAGTGCATCCCTTTTTAAGTATAATCCCTGCAGGAATTGAACCCACGACCTTGGCATTGTTAGCACCACGCTCCTACCAAAAGGCCTCGTAGGACCACGTTCCAGCTTATCTTTGAAACAGTTGTGATATATAATGATTGGGAAAACACTGACTCATTGAACCCACCTGGGGAACCTGGTAGAGTGGTTACAGGCCTGACAGTGATGGTTCTCTACCCTCTGGGCTCCCCAGCGAAGGTCCTCTGTAGATGGGGCCAGTGGGCCTGAGGACTGGGTTGGACCCCCACAGTGGCTGCAAGGCAGGTAGTCCACCCAGGAGAAGAACTCCTCTTTAAACCAGCGGAGCAGCGCCAGCACCAGTAGGTCCTCTTCACTCAGGTTGCAATCTGAAGACCGGAGAGAGACAGGAATACGGTCAAAGCAAGGATAAACGTCTTTAAAGTTCATGGACATCCAGAAATACAATCAACATCTGAACTGTTTGATTACAAGCTCTGAAGAGTTTGCTCCTTTATTCATGCACCTTCGCTGTGGAGTGAGGTAGCAACGGTGTTCTTGTTGTTGTTGTTTTAATAATTATTATTAGGCCTATTGCAACAAAAACAAGGTAATGTCTCGTTAAACCATCAATACGCGCTAAAATTACCCGCACGGCTGATCTCAATTGCAACCATCATTGGCCACCGATTTACCATTCCCTAAAGCGGATGTCTGTGGTAATTTACCCAGCCTCATACATTTTTCATTTACAATTTAATGTAATCCATTAATTACAATTTGTCTTTAAAAAGTATAGTCATTTCTTATCAAGACCGGGGGGAAATATCTGCATGGTCAATGTTTTAAATACGTAACTAAATCAACTCAATCGAGATTAGTTATATAATCTATAATTTTTTATCAAATTAAAATGTAGTCTAATAACATTACTTCAAATGGTACACATATTATTTTGCCATTTAAGATTAAACTTTTGAATGAAGTATAGGCACTTATATTCTTCGAATAAGTATTTTACATTCATCAGCCTTACGGCTTCTGATCCTCCTGAGAAGTCGTTATTTCATTGGGGGTGGGAATAGAGAACCTAGACAAGGACAGTTGCAGCTGTCTGGTATCAACGTAAGATCAGCTAAATCACCGGTTTATTGTTGTGAGTTTTTCCATTGCAATCAAGCTTATTTTAGCACGCAGGTGCATGTAATCTCCCGTTAGTATCGTTTTAAGAAACACTCCGCCAACACGGTGCTCCATGTGAAGTTCCGCGTCTTCGTTGCAATCCACCCAGCGTTTATAAAGCACAGTAGAACTGGTTTAGCCTGAATTCATCTCATCTGCCAGCCGACAGTAGCAATTGAGACTGGGAATGAGGTTAAACCTGAATAGGAACTCTGAACTACGGGGTTGGTGTTACCTGGATCAGCCTGCTTGCTCTGCTGTAGTTTCTCCTTGACTGCAGTGGTCAGCTGCTGGTGTGGTATAACGTCTAGAGCTTTCTGCTGTAGCTCTGAGTTCTCATACTCCATCACATGCTGGAAGTTAGACTGAAGGGTGGTCAGGAAGATCATACTGCTTTCCTGGTGAACAGAAACAGAGGGAGGGAGGGAGGGAGGAGGGGGTGAGAGAGGAGGGGTGAGAGAGGAGGGAGAGAGAGAGATGAGAGAAGAGGGGAGAGAGTTAAATTTAAGGGATGCAATTGTTTACTGACAAAGAAAAGTAGAGTGTATCAGAGAGAAATTATCCTAAACACAAGACTGAAGCTTTACCAAGGAAGGTGCTTGTGCAGGGGTTTGTCTAGCTGGCAGGCTGGCAGTAACAGGTGGACCATGGGCTGGGGCTGAGGTTAGGGCTGGGGCACTCGCTGTCACAGGAGACTGTTGGGGCTGCCCCACACCCAGTCTCTGATCCCTTTCTGCAGCGATGGACTCCCGGATTCTCCTCAGTTGGTCCACAGAGGCAGACTTGGGGAACACCAGGTGAGTTTCAGCCTGAGGAGAGAGGGAGACATCCAGATAAAAATACATCCCAAAAGACATGCATCTAGGCTTCTGGCATGTTCACTTATGTTGAACTTTTCAAAGGTAGTCATGCATACATCTTTCTTGACATTTCAATGACATTCAATCAGTGTGTTTTTAGAATAAGGATGACGACAACAGTAGCCTACCTCCTCAAAGCCCATCTCAAAGAGGCACTCCACTGCCCCTCTGATAGGCAGGAGTTTGGTGGAAAATGTAGGGTTCCCTATTCGAATAGACCTGTATTTGCCTTCATTGGGATTCCTGTAAGGACATTCACAAATATCTTAGGTAGTGAATATGCATTGGATGCCTTGCAAAAGTATTCAGACTCCTTGGATTTCTTAACTTTTATTGTGTTGCAAAGTGGGTTTAAAATAGATTTAATTGTCATTTAAATACAAAATTAATAATTAAAATAATCGTTGCATAAGTATTCATCCCTTTTGTTTAGGCAAGCCTAAATTAGTTAAGGAATACAATTTGGCTTAACAAATCACATAATAAATTACATGGACTACAACAGTGTGAAATAATACAGGCTGACATTATTTTTGAATGACTAACCCTTCCTCTGTCCCCCATACATACAACATCTGTAAGGTCCCTCAGTCAAGTATTGAATTTCAAGCACAGATTTAACTACAAAGACCAAGGAGCTTTTCGAAAGCCTCGTAAAAGAAGGGCAGTGATTGGTAGATGGGTAACAATAACAAATCAGACATTGAATCTCTCTTTAAGCATGGTCAAGTTAATAATTACGCATTGGATTATGTATTAAACCACCCAGACACAAAGATAGTAGTCCTTCTGAACTGAGCTGCAGGACAGGAATGAAACTGCTCAGCGATGTTACCATGAGGCCATTCTTGAGGATGGAACAACAACATTGTAGTGTCTCTCAATAATGACCTAAATGACAGTGTGAAAAAAATATATATATACAAAAATATTCCTAAACATGCATCTTGTATGCAACAAGGCACTAAAGTAATACTGAGAGGGAGAAAAAACACAGCAAAGGAATACACTATTTGGCCTAAATGCAAAGCCTTATATTTGGGGCAAATCCAACAAATCATTGAGTAACTGCCTCCTTATTTTCATGCATGGTGGTGGCTGCATCATGGTATGGGTATGCTTGACATCGGCAAATACTGGGGAGTTTTTCAGGATAAAAAGAAAAGGGATGGATCTAGCCACAGGCATAATGCTAGAGGAAAACCTGCTTCAGTCAGTCTGCTTTACACCAGACACTGGCAGAGGAATTCACCTTTCAGCAGGACAATAACCTACAATACAAGGCCAAATCTACACTGGAGTTGCTTACCAAGAAGACAGTGAATGTTCCGGAGTGGCCAAGTTACAGTTTTGACATAAATTGGCTTTAAAATCTATGGCAACACATGACAATTGCTGTCTAGCCATGATTCCCCAACAGCTTGACAGAGGTGAAGAATTTTGAAAAGAATAAATGGGCAAATATTGCACAATCCAGGTGTGCAAAGCGATTAGAGATTTACCCAAAAAGGACTCAGACAACTCCCATAATTTTAAAGCTGCAATATGTAACTTTTTGGAGGACGACCAAATTTACATAGAAATGTGAGTTATAGATCTGTCACTCATTGAAAGCAACTCTAAGAAGCCCTATTTCTATGCTTCCCGTGCTTAAATGTAATTTTTGCGTGTTACTTTCGGTTTTGTACACTAGCTTAAATAAAGCAGAAAATACAATATTTTTTGGTTATTGCAAAGATATTTCACAGCGGCTTAGATGGTACAATGATTATCTACACTATACATTGTTGTCACAAACTGAAATTAGGCGAACTATTACAATTTTAGCAACAAGGAAATGGCAGAGCGACTTCTGCATTTTGCAGCTAACTTACCCAAGAAGACAGCTGTAATCGATGCCAAAGGATTCTAACATGTATTCACTCAGGGAGCTGAATACTAGTACAACGACTATATTTTTGTTATTAGATTTTTATTCACCCCCCCCCCCACCCCACCCCCCCCCCAAAAAAAAAAATGTAGATTTTTTATCCACTTAGACACGAGTATTGTGTAGATTGTTGACAAATCATATTGCAATTTTTATTCCACTTTATAAGAATAAAATGTGATATAATCCAACAGGCAAGGGGTCTGAATACTGTTGCAAGGCACTGTATGTTATGTCGGTATGTGAAGATCTGGCAGGTATTTTGAGTTCCTTGTAGCAATTTTCATACGTTTCTCAGCAGCTGCATGAGAGAAAGTTGAGCTAGAGATAAGTAGCTACATTTGTTCCAATCGTTTCCAAGAGGCAAATAAATGTCATTACGATGTAACAAGCGCTCGCGCCTCAAGCGGATGATAGCTTTGCGCGTGACGGTTTCAGTAGTTTGTAGTCGCCTCGTATTTCCATTTTCTTTTCAACAAGATGACACTGCATAATGTCTAGCTATGAGCTAAATAATCTAGATGGTTAGTAAGGAGGCTAGCATTATAAGCTAACCAGCAAAGTTAGCTAGGCTATGTTTTTCACTTACATTCAAGCACACTGACATTATTACCTAAGAATGTTGTCGGCATAGGTGATCAACAATTTCGCGACGTCTAGAAACACTTCATTCGAATTTTCGCATAATGTTGAGAATCCTTGAGACGCAGCCATGTTTTCTCTGCTACAACCTCCTTCCCTGGACGTATTTTACTCACTGAGGTAGGTAGCGATGATTTCACTGCTGCTAGCAACCTTAAGTAAATAATCAAAATAGCTGCCACTGCAATGCCTGAACAAATCACAACTATTCAAATAACAACTATTCAAAAATCGATGTAAAATATGGTAATGTTATCCATAAAGCAATATTTCCTAAATGTATGCATTAATTTACATTGTTCTGTTGTATAAAAATTTTAATCTACACTTCTATGTTCAATGTATGGTATCAGGCAATACGACAGTATCCCCGTTGAATGAACTCAGTTGCTTGGATGCCAGTGTGTTAGCGAGACTCATTTGACATTTAGAGAGGATTTCAGAGGTATAATGACATAATCTATCATCGCTTTCACGTGGTAAGTGGCAAATAGATGATTAAGGGAGGTTTATTTCGTAGTTGGACAAATTAGAACGCTAGTAGCCTGTCGTGTTGGTGAGGGATCAGTCATTGACAGCCTGGATCCAGGGACACAGATAGAGCAGTAGCCTATAATTTTGCAAGGATAAGGATATGATAGCATTTGCACTACCTACATACCATACTGTATTGACGTGATAGGTATGAGTCAAGAATGAGTTATGCTGCTAAACTGTTAATTATTGTTTTTTCTCTACACCACAGGATCCACAGAGATAGCAGAGAAACAAATCAACATCATGTCTTCATTGTGTTGGCCAAAGCTGCTGTTGTACGTTGCATCACATCGCACCACCAGAACACTTCTCAACAAGAGCACTTGTATGTGTTCAACATGTCCAAATCTGAGACACTACACCTGTGGAAAGAGTCCGCCCAGGAGGAGAGTAGCAATCACTGGAATAGGACTTGTCTCTCCTCTCGGCACAGGGACTACTCTACCCTGGAAGCAGCTGATTAGCGGTGCCAGTGGGATCGTCGCCCTTGACTCTGAGACGTATAAGACAGTCCCCTGTAAAGTGGCAGCCCTGGTGCCCCGAGGGGACGGAGAGGGCCAGTTCAAGGACGAGAGATTCGCCACGCGCGGGGAGATCAACAGTATGTCACCAGCCACTGTCATGGCTCTCGGTGCCGCCCAGCTGGCACTGGAGGATTCTGGGTGGTATCCCAGCAGGCCTGAGGAGCAACTGACCACAGGGGTGTCAGTGGGGATGGGCATGGTTTCGCTGGACGAGATCGCCAAGACGTCGGCCATCTTCCAGGCGAAAGGTTACAGTAAGGTCAGTTATGGGGTCCGCTGTAGCCAGCAGGCGCTGAAGTGTGCTGTGCTGCTTCCAACTTCTCAGGTGTGTGTGTGTGTGTGTTTGTGGCAGGCTTAGTAGGTAGGAGTGTGTCCTATTTGCAGAGAAGGGTTGAGAATGTGGGATTAAATAACAACAGACTGCAAATAAAACACCAATTTCCATTTTGATGGATGGATTTAATAAAAGTTGTATTGTATTTGTATTCTAGGTCAGCCCCTTCTTTGTGCCTCGTATCCTGGTCAACATGGCTGCCGGTCACATCAGCATCAAGCACAAACTAAAAGGCCCCAACCACGCTGTGTCCACCGCCTGCACCACTGGAGCCCATGCCCTCGGTGACGCAGCCAGGTTCATCGTCCACGGAGACGCTGTCGCCATGGTAGCGGGTGGGACAGAAGCCTGTGTGGGACCTCTGTCAATCGCGGGGTTCGCAAGGGCGAGGTAAATCTTGAAAATCCCAGGATATTTTTGTTGTTGTTTGTTTGTGTTATTGTTGTTGTTAGTATACATCTAGTCTGTCCTTTTATAAATGTGTACATATGTATTAAGATATGCCTATGCCATTTGTATGTTCATGGATTTCAGTTTGTACTGACTGCTATGTCGGTGTAATTCAACTTTAACTTTTATTTGAAGGGCTCTGAGTACCCACTGGAATGACCAGCCCAGGCTGGCATCACGGCCCTTCCACCCAGAGAGGGATGGGTTTGTGATGGGTGAAGGGGCTGCGGTGGTGCTCCTGGAGGAGTGGGAGCATGCTGTGGGGAGGCGGGCCAGGGTGTATGCTGAGGTGCTGGGGTACGGACTGTCAGGGGACGCCAGCCACATCACAGCCCCCGCTGCTGATGGAGACGGAGCCTTCAGGTAAAAGTCATGGATGGGGTTTATAGCACTCTTTCACCAGGTGCTTACTATTTGTGTTAGGAGTTAAGGAACCATTGAGATGTACTGTAGCCAGTACCATTATCAATATCTATCAACATGACCATGAAAAAAATATGTAAAAAATCTTAGGCCTATTTCAAAACAATTCAGAAATGTTAAATGAAATGGTGAACAAATTTGAAGTGATTACATTTTTACAGTCCATTTTAATTATCCTGTTCTTCTTCCAGGTGCATGTCTGCAGCGCTCCGAGACGCAGGTGTGGAACCAGCCCATGTGACGTACGTGAACGCACATGCCACCTCTACACCACTAGGTGACGCTGCAGAGAACGCTGCCATCAAGAGACTGTTCCAGCAGCACGCCGCCGCCCTGGCTGTCTCCTCCACTAAGGGGGCCACGGGGCATCTCCTGGGGGCTGCTGGGGCCCTAGAGGCAGCCTTCACTGCCCTGGCCTGCTACCACAGCACTTTGCCACCCACCCTCAACCTGGACCGCACCGAGCCAGAGTTTGACCTGAACTATGTGCCCTGCACGGCACAGCAGTGGAAGACAGAGGGCAGACGGGTAGCTCTCACAAACTCTTTTGGGTTTGGGGGGACTAATGTGTCGCTGTGTCTCGCCAGTGTCTGAAAAGCTTGTCTGAAGGATTCAATTCTTACTTGTTTTGTATGGGATTCCTAGTATTTCAGTTTCAAAATATTCTCAATATTATATTGGGACATGTAACAGGGTAAATAATTTGCATGAAATGATGATCGATGTTTGCATTTTGTTCATTAAAATACAGATGTACTTTGTGTACTTGAATACCAGTAGTATGTATATTTATCACCAGCAGGTGTCACTGTCTCACATGGAGACTACACTGGAGAGGCTATGGATTTATTACCTTTGATATTTATACAGGCAGTTCAGCTCCAGCCCAGAGCCCGTTATTGTATTAGAAGGCTGTGCTCCAGCCCATGAATGAGCAGTTGGTTAGTCATAAAGTGTAATTTCGCAAGGCTTCCTGGATCCACCATGAGCATAAACATCATAAACAGCACAGTCACTCATTTGGGTCCCAAAGGCCCTGGTTCACACTTCCTGTCCTCCAAAACAGGGTTTTTTAAATGGTGGAATTCAGTGGTTCTCTACCTGAGTTATGGGTAAACCTGGGGATACTTGGCCTATCCCCAGGTTACTTGGGAAGACGCATAAGAACATATGCCTACTGGTAAATTGCACGAGGGGGCTACTTCAGGGTTACCCCAGGCAGAGCAAAATGTGATTGAGGATACAGTGACGAAAGAACCACTGGTGTAATTCTACAGCCGGATTTAGCACTGCTGTTTATTGGAGGAGAGATGATCTAACGTTACCAATAATCCTCTCTCTCGTTTTCTCTCTCTCTCTCTCTCTCTCTCTCACACTGAAAGTGCTTATGGTTTTGTTTGTTAAATCAGCAATACATGCAAGCAGAGCATTTTGTGTATTTACTGGTATTTAAGGTGTTCATCCATCCTAGCTCTGTAAGATATATTCTACATACTGGGGGCCGGTTTCCCAGACACAGATTAAAAAGCCTTGTCCTGGACTAAAAAGAGCTTTCAATGGAGATTCTCCGGTAAATTGTCAGGTAAACTGGCCTTGTATTTGTCTGGGTTCTGTGTGAACAACAAGGTCTCAGTCTCAGACAGAGGAGGGCACGGTGGTGATGTGATAGGGAAGGTTAAGTGGAGACAATGTGACATTTTCTGCATCCCAAATGGCACCCTATTCCCCCTAGCACACTACTTTTGACCAGGGCCTATAGGGCTCTGGTCAAAACAAAATGAGTGTACTCATTTGGGACGCAAACATTATTTCAAGGGAGACATAGAGGTAATGGAAAAAACATGTCCCGGAGGGGACCAGGAAAATAAGCTTTCACATTTGTTCCTCCACTTTTGTTCCTCCACAAGCAATAATCAGTGCTAGCCGCTCTTCTATGGAAAAGAGAAACTGAGTTGTTGAACCAAAGTGGTCCTCCTGAGGGAGATGTGTAATGATTGCATAGGGGGAATATGAAGGGTGATTTAGGGATCTCTTATCCTCTTTGTATTCCCTCTGGATCACTGGATGTCGGTTGATCAGTCTGAGGCAAAGCTACTATGAATGTGATTGTAGAAGAAGATTAGCCTCTTGCAACCTGTTGGCGCAGGAGTATATAGAGAGGTATATACAGTATGATGTACTAGTAGTGTATTTTACTGTAAATATTGACTGGTATGAACATCAGTTGATATGAACAAAATGCAGGCTTTCTTTCAATCTATTGGAAACATTGTGCAAAACATACTCTTCAGTGTATGAATTCTTGAATACTTTCTTCAGTCACGACTGAAGTGAATTGCAGATGCAATACATGAAACTAACTAGCATGATGAATTACAGGGGGATGTCTCTTTCTCAAGGCCATTTTTAGATATTAAGTTTTATTAACTCTTATAGGATGTCATCTTCCACTAATGAATAAATCAATTATTAATTCACCTTTTTAATTTTAAATAATTTGACATGGATAAATGATATGGGAAGCTTTTTTTCTAGTTACGAAGAAAGGATAGCCCTTATCTGTGTCTTGAACCTTTTTAGAGTTTCGTTTTTAGTTTGACAACTGACCTAACCCAGCAGCAGGTGCTGTTCTTTGTGGTATTTTCACAAAGTTATTTGTGGAAAGTTAACCTCCTCCCCTGGCTATTGCGCACAGTGCATTTGGGCTGAAGTGTCTGGGAATGAGATTAGTGGAAAGTGGACATAATGTATCAGACAGAACACCATAATAACAGATTCACTGTAGGCAGGTTTATTCAGTGATGACCTAACTTCCCCCTCAACGGCTGTCATTGCATTACCATCCCTCATGTATCAAAAGTATTGACATTGACACACTGCAGTATTGTGCTGTTATGACTGATTATTAATCAAGAGATGCTAATGATCTATTCCATGTACAGTATAGACATAGAAATGTGAGATCACAAATATGGTTTCCAATTGACTTTCTCTAAGGCACATCTGTTGTTTGTTTGTTTGTTTGTTTGAGTAGAGCTTTAGCAAGTTTTAGGTCTACTCATTCCATTCCGCAATACTGCATTTTTGTGCATGAAATTGGAGATTGACATTTACAGTTCCATTTGTTTTTTATAGCGTTATGAACAAAAGGCTAGCTCCCACTTACCGCATTGACAGAAGTGGCCCTGCCGTCCCACCTCACCGTACTGTAATGCACTCACACTGCCATTTAGTGCACAGTAAGTGAGGTGGTAAAACATTGACAGCTAGAGAGAGAGGGCCCAGAGTATGTAAATTAAATGTGGCGTACAGTACGTTCAGCTTCGAAGTATTTCTCTACCTTTCTACTCTGAGCGGCAATCATCGAAGTTAACGGCTCCTCCATTGATCTGTATCTCCATTACCTTCCTCCCTCCCTCCCTCCCTCCCTCCCCTTGTCACAGCCCTCCTCTGATTCCTCCCCCCTCTACCTATCGATACTGCCACAGCCCGAGCACCTAGCCCAGGGACGAATGATTCCTATTAATGATAATTACTGATTCGATTAATGTTTTTTCTCTTATTTTTTCTCATTTTCTCCATTCATGCTTTCCAATTAGGAGACATCCAAGCTGAATTACGCTCACCATGGCAACAGAGTCGGCATGTATTCCCTTTGATATCAGGCGGAGCCAACCGACCGTCCCACAGGAGAGCAACGGGGTTTAGCTCCTCTACAGACACACGTACGCATGCTAAAATGATAGCTTCTCTCTCTGGGGCCTAGTGCTGGTTTAATGAGGGTCAATATACGGTAGCACCTGATGTCGCCGAATCAATCACACAACCACAGACAGAGCCAGTGTTGCCAGCTAATTTTCAGGGGAAATTGCTAGAGGCAGGTAGATTTGTTGCTAAAAGTTGCTAAATTACGTTGTGATGTCATCGCGTGATGGCGTCATCGCGTAATAACGTAAAACTGCGTCATTACCTAAATACTTAATAACATGACTGGCCATCTCAGGGACAAATATGATTAGACTTTTTTGTGTTATTTTTTTTTGGGGGGGGGGGGGGTAGATCAGCTTTAATATTGCAGATAGATTGTAACTTCCATCAATGTAATTGTCTGCATCACTTCCAATCCCCCATGGGTTTTTTTCACACACATACAGTTGAAGTCGGAGGTTTACATACACCTTAGCCAAATACATTTAAATTCAGTTTTTCACAATTCCTGACATTTAATCCTAGTACAAATTCCCTGTATTAGGTCAGTTAGGATCACCACTTTATTTTAAGAATGTGAAATGTCAGAATAATAGTAGAGAGAATGATTTATTTCAGCTTTTATTTCTTTCATCACATTCCCAGTGGGTCAGAAGTTTACATACACTCGATTAATATTTGGTAGCATTGCCTTTAAATTGTTTAACTTGGGTCAAACGTTTCGGGTAGCCTTCCACAAGCTTCCCACAATAAGTTGGGTGAATTTTTGCCCATTCCTCCTGACAGAGCTGGTGTAACTGAGTCAGGTTTGAAGGCCTCCTTGCTCGCACATGCTTTTTCAGTTCTGCCCACAAATTTTCTATAGGATTGAGGTCAGAGCTTTGTGATGGCCACTCCAATACCTTGACTTTGTTGTCCTTAAGCCATTTTGCCACAACTTTGGAAGTATGCTTGGGGTCATTGTCCATTTGGAAGACCCATTTGCGACCAAGCTTTAACTTCCTGACTGATGTCTTGAGATGTTGCTTCAATATATCCACCTAATTTTCCTTCCTCATGATGCCATCTATTTTGTGAAGTGCACCAGTCCCTCCTGCAGCAAAGCACCCCACAGCATGATGCTGCCACCCCCGTGCTTCACGGTTGGGATGGTGTTCTTCGGCTTGCAAGCTACCCCCCTTTTCCTCCAAACATAACAATGGTCATTATGGTCAAACAGTTCTATTTTTGTTTCATCAGACCAGAGGACATTTCTCCAAAAAGTACGATATTTGTCCACATGTGCAGTTGCAAACTGTGGCCTGGCTTTTTTATGGCGGTTTTGGAGCAGTGGCTTCTTCCTTGCTGAGTGGCCTTTCAGGTTATGACAATATAGGACTCGTTTTACTGTGGATATAGATACTACTGTACCGGTTTCCTCCAGCATCTTCACAAGGTCCTTTTCTGTTGTTCTGGGATTGATTTGCACTTTTCGCACCAAAGTACGTTCATCTCTAGGAGACAGAACGCGTCTCCTTCCTGAGCGGTATGACAGCTGCGTTGTCCCATGGTGTTTATACTTGCTTACTATTGTTTGTACAGATGAACATGGTACCTTCAGACGTTTGGAAATTGCTCCCAAGGATGAACCAGACTTGTGGAGGTCTACACATTTTTTTCTGAGGTCTTGGCTAATTCCTTTAGATTTTCCCATGATGTCAAGTAAAGAGAAACTGAGTTTGAAGGTAGGCCAAAGAAATACATCCGCAGGTACACCTCCATTGACTCAAATTATGTCAATTAGCCTATCAGAAGCTTCTAGAGCCATGACGTCATTTTCTGGAATTTTCCAAGCTGTTTAAAGGCACAGTCAACTTAGTGTATGTAAACTTCTGACCCACTGGAATTGTGATACAGTGAATTCTAAGTGAAATAATCTGTCTGCAGGGACGGCTTGTTCAATAGGGCGATATGGGCGACGCACTGCCAAACGGGAAAAGGAAGGGATTTTTTTTCTAATCAATTATTTAAAAAAATTAAATAAAAAAATATATAT